TGATCATGGGGATGAGGATAATAGTGACGATTATGATGATGATGATAACGTTAGTGGTGGTTGTGATGGTGATGATGATGATGATGATGATGATTATTATTATTATTATTATTATTATTATTATTATTATTATGATAATGATGATAGTGATGTTAAGATAATAAGAAGAAACATTCAGCAATATTAAACCCACAATATTCCTTTAACTTTCACGACATGTCTTTGCATGCATAGATGCGATCCGTTATCTGTCTGGAGAAAATGGCGCCAAAATGGGGTGAATAAAACAACAATCGTCTGGATTATAATGTCGTCCAAACAATAACAGACAAGGACATTTGATCTAGGCAAGGGTGAATCAGCCCTTTTAGACAAGTCTCTACTTTCGTGTTTATTTCTTTTCACGGTACAGCTCTTTGGGGGTTATTCCAGTTCGTTTTCAACCTCGAAATTCTAATGGGCTCTTCGGTGTGATGGAGGTAGAGAGAGAACTCAACATCATTACAATAAAATAGATCAGTTGGTCTCCAACATTCGTTGTCTATTTTTTTTTTCTTCTTTTTTTCCATCTGTTTGTTGTTTTATTTTGGTGCCCTACTCTTTCGGTTCCTCCCAAATGCTTCTAGGCCTATTAAAACTGTTGTTCTGAAGGGCGATGGAGTTGAAGGGAAAACTTCGAGGAAGGTGCCATGGTATAGTGGTTCTGCCACCTGACTCTCAATCCAACGGTTGAGGGTTCGATCCCAGCCGGCAAGACAAGAATACACATTTTCCACTCTGCATCCAGGTGTAAATGGGTAACTGAAATTTGCTGGGGTAATATCAAAATCAGGGTTCTCGGGAAGACTTCGTTATTCGATCGTAGATCAATCTGTCCAAGAACGTCGGGGAAAAGATCTCCTAACGTAGATCTTACTAAAATAAATCAAGTTAGGTATGTTCATAGTACAAATAATAATATCTGAAAAGAACACCTCTGAACTAGGATCCCTCACCGGCGAAGAGACATTCCACCGTGTAATCATATTACCCATGGACCTTTGCGCTGGTTTTCAACATGTCCAGGGTATTTTGCAAGAATTTATAACACAATCCGCCTTTAACTTTAAATCTAATACCACCGAATTAATCAATTCCTTCCATTATCAAACAAGCTTGTAGACGGGCATTGCTTAACGTTGGAGGTTTTGTAGAACTAAACAAAGCAAAACAAAATGTGGAATGGTACCATTTGTTCAATGCACTCAAAACAAATAATTTGATATCACATTTTTTCAAGCTTGAACTTATGCTCAAAATATGCTAAAAGTACATAGTCACTCTGATTTTGTGTTTATATGGATTGATACTAATCCCAAACATCACTTAACCCTTTCCTGCTCAGCTCAACCCCACATCATTTTCAATTAGTGAGAATAAAAACAAAAGGGTTTTGTTTTTATCTCTCTCCATATATATATTTATATGGTATACGCTAAACATATGAATGAAAACTTGACAACGAACCCCCGGGGTTAGACTTTGAAGATTCCCCGCGTTTGGGCGAGGTGTCGACACGACAGATTGGAGTTTATTGGATATGACCTCAATTTGTGAAATTGTGATCGTCATGCGAGTAGGCTCGAGGGTGCCTATAGTTAAAGGTACGGTGGAGCCGGATTACAAAACAAATTCATTGAGATCAAGGAAATTAGCTTGTTATAATTGTAATCTTGTCACATCCAGAGAAAAATAGATTCGAAAACAGAGATTTGGGACTAAGAAAATTCCCTCGTTATTAATATTGTTATTGTTTTTGTAACGTGTATAACCATGTAATCTTGTTATTTATCATTTATGTCAGGGGACTATTATACTTACAAGTTTTTTAAACTTCCCTTTTAGTCTCCAATTTCCTAATTCCAGAATTGTAAGATTATGATTGTCTCATGTTGTATATGGTTTTATGATTGAAATAAATGAACTGAACTGAGTTATAATGATAGCCAATAGCTTAGTATCTTAGTGTTATTTACATTTAACGAAGATATAATATTCAGCATTATATTTGACTATTTATGGGCTATGATGAAAGATTTATCTTCAATATTTGCATTACTGGCATTTATACATAGCATTTTCCCCCCCAAGATGTGTATTTCCGCAATTGACCTACTAAAAATAAAGTAATAACTGACAAAAGATTATATTTCACGTTATTTTACTTGGAATATTATAATGATAAAGAGATACAATTTTTTCAAAAATACCGATATAGGACTCAAAAACTACATAATTAAAATTAACATGATTTTCTCAGGACGCCCATATCGCAACTCGTTAGAAGGTAAATATTCAAGTTTTATGCTTTTTCATACCCAAGTACAGTTAATATCATCTTCAAAGATAATAATGATCAGATAATGATTAAAAGCGAGGCTTCTCTGTGAAGTTCACAATGCATGTAAAATTTGTGAATAAAAGTTTGGATCCACATCAAACAGCATGACTTGAAATGTCCAAAGTTTACTTACCTCAAGTTATAACACCAAAGTTAAAAAAAGACGAGCAAATTTGGTAGATATCCATTTAAATTTCATTATTTATTACAAACATTTGTTTAAATTTCAATAAATTATTTATAAAGTAAGTACAAAAATAATTATAGTACAAAATATTCCACCATGAACCATTTTTAAAAACCGTGATAGAATTATATTTTCCTTTTCCTCTTTTACAATGGTTGTAAATTGCATACATCAAATAAATATAATACCACACTAAATGAAACATAACTTTCTTATAAGTATTCTTCAAAATAATTGCACATCATACATAGAAATTCAATAAATTCTCTTCCCATATATTGGACTAAAAAATAACATACATGTATGCTTTTGAAAAATTGAGGAACTCATGCCAAATTTAAATTAATTAGGATTTTGAAAAAATCTGAAAAATCAAAGAAACACATAAAAACAATAGTTAAGGAAAATAAAACAAAAGACTTAACATATGAAGGATAAGAAAATAACTGATTATCATTTGTAGAAATAGAATAACAGGGCATGTTCAATTAAAAGATTTACTACATATGCCACACTCAACCCAGGGGGGTGTTTCACAAAGATCCTAAGTTGAACTTATCTCTAAGTTGGACTTAAAAATTATGGAAAGCCATTAGCATCTTTGAAAATATTTTGTAAAAGTTATTTTGAAAGGCATTAATTGTTTATTCAAATCATTCATATTGTCTATCACCAAGGAGATTTCATGTTCTGGATGTGGAATTCATAAAAAGTCTAAAATACTTGAATTTCTGCTTTTGAATATATTTCATTTCAAGACTCCAATGGCTGTCCATAATTTTTAAGTCCTACTTAGAGTTAAGTTCTACTTAGGATCTTTGTGAAACACCCCCCAGGTGATGTAAATGGGTACCTGGCAGGAATTAATTCCTTAAAACGCTAGAGCCCAGTATTAAATGGCAGCCGTGCTAAAGCCAGGGTAATAATCTCCCTCTGCATCTCAGAATAGTTTACTAGTTTGATGGCGCCTAATAAATGCTTTAGTATTATTATTATTATGTAAAATATAAAAATGTTTTGACAACATGTAGAAAGTATCACCATAATTGGTATGATTCTGATAAGGAAATACTTGTACAATGAGTAATGTAAGATTTGTATTCCCGATAAGTAACATGCCTCAACAAATTCTTCATATTTGAAAATAAAAACAAAATCACAAGTTAAGTAAATATTTTGCTAGGTAGAGGTAGTGCATTAAGAATTCTAAAGCTTAAACCGCGATTGTGATTTGTTCACTCAAAACTACAAATGCCAGCATATTTTTTCCTTTTCTTCAACAGTTTCCAATCTTTTCAACACTTGAAATTTACGTGTACAAAACTAATCTCCCTGTGCTACACTTTATTGATCATGAGATAGATACATAATACCAAAGGCTTCAAGTTTCCAGTGCAAGATTAATCTCTACCAATATTAAAGATACTATGTCTCTGTTGCAGCCAACATCAAATTCTGTAGAACTTTGCAGGAATTATGAATACATATATGTTTATGTATGTCCTATCTGTGAAATTTAAACGTTAGCAGTGTCCTAATATTGAAATTATGCAAGGAAACCCATACACTTGCTAGACTTCACTGTCAGACACTATTGGGTGACTGACTGGCTTTTTTTCTTCTTAGGTAATAACATACATAAAATGAGCTGTAAAGGGTACATGAGCATTTGTCTACATCAATAACCCACTTCTTGTGATGGCCAAAATTAGTCTGATTGAATCTGATTGAAACATAAAACGTACAACCATTCGGTACAATGGTCTGAAAATCAGACTATTACTTATTATATTCCACATACTAAGAATCTTGCTCTACGATTGGTCAAAAGTAAAGCATGTGATGAAAGATAGTTTGCCCATTACTGATGGGAGAAGCAAAAAGTTCATTACACAGTGCAACGCACTTTCACTGAAGATAGAGGTACTATCTACACAGGCAACGCACTTTCACTGAAGATTATCCAAAAACGCACTAAAACAGGCATAATTAAGCGCGCATTACCATTGAGCGCAATTAAAGAAAACACATGCGCGCACCGTACCCTCAAGGGGTTGGGTTAAACTTAATGTGTTTTGGCGTGAATTTGGGCCTAGGTGTCTTTTTTGTAAATGCATACACATCCTTTTCTTTTTGTAGTTAAATTGTTTTAGATGTGGAATATAAAGCAAATAATCACCTTTTGGTTTCAGGCGATGGCAAACTATCACTTCCTGGTCGATCAGAATGTATACGCTATCTTTCCTCAGCTTCGCTTCGGAAAAATAGCTACATCCAGATCGCCTCGGAAGTGATAATTTGTCCCATCACCTTCACCAATGGTATTTATTTGCTTACTAGCTCTATAGCTCTTAAGTCGATTCGACGACTAATAGTCATTATTTTCCCACTTAAAGACATTTTCAGGCCCCCCCCCCCTTTTTTTAGGGAAGTTCTAAATTAGTATTACCTTTCAAATGCAGTTGGAATTTAACCTTTTCATTTTTTTGGCCTGCAAATGGGACATAGTACCTTTAAAAGTGCTGTCATTGAGCTAATCAAGACCATTGTGTTGCATAATTCTGCCAATTGGTGGCATTGCTTTGTGCAAAATTGCATGTGGCAAAAGAGTGACTAGTATGCACCTGAGACAGAGATATAACAATAGGGCAAGATAAATAGAGAAAGAGAGAGAGAGAGAGAGAGAGAGAAGGAGGTGGAAAAGCAACCAAAGTTTCTAAGACCTAAAACAACAAATGTGATTTGTCTACTCAAAACTGCAAGTGAAAGAATTACCTTTATGTTGCTTTTATTTCTCTATTTTTCTGCAACTACAGTTCCAAAGCTTTCCAAAACTTGACATCTACATGTTATTCAATAGAACCCTGATAGTACTTGTAGATATTGCCAACCTTAATTCTATCACTTTATTCCCTATGATGGAGATCACACAGTTTAACAGGAGGAAATGCTACCTTAAAGATAAAGACCAGTTCTGGTCATGCGATTGCATTGTGAAAGAAACGTTGTGGAATCGATCAGAAAAGGTTGATCATCTAGCATATAAGTATTGGTGTGTACTGCAAGGTTCTAGAATCATCAAAATGATAAGAAATTTGGCCCAGTCTTCCTAAAGTTACAAGCACTGTTCACAGAAAGATGAATATGGGACTACGCACACGTGCGCGACACGGGTGTATTATCTATTTTGTATCATCATGTATTAGTCAAAACATGTTCTTTCACATGATTGGTAATAAGAGCTTCCATTTCTTTTTTTGAGAGGGGGGTGTTTCCAAAACTGGTCTATACCTTTTACCCGCTCACTACCGGGACCAAGTGATTCCATGTTAAGTTTATGGGAATGAGAGAATTCAGGATTCAAACGATTAATAGAACAAAGGGAGATTTTTAGAAATGAAAGTGGGGTGGAGTTGGTGTCTCTGAACCTTTCAAATCTATTGAGTAACCTTGAACTGTGAAGGTAGTTCTTGCATTTGATTTGATTTTAATCACATAACACATTTTATGAAGACTCGAGACAAAGTTATGCCTTGAATAAGTGGTTAAGTGGGAGAATAGGAACACTTAAAGGGATATTGGAGTCTCTGATCTTGTCAATCTATTGAGTAACCTTGAACTGTGAAGACGTTCCTTCATAGCTACTGATCTTCTGTGCGATATCTTTAGATTCTCCAAACACCCTGAGACGGTAGGTGCCCATAGGTGTGTCCAATGGGATGTCCCAATAGGCGGTGACCTCGCTGTGACCAAGCAACGTGCTTGTACGCGTCCAAATGAATCTGGTCAGAAGAGAAGAAAGATGAGAGAGAATGACATAACGTGATCATAACAGAATTCAACTCAATACCCATAGCAATTGTATTTGGATTATGTAATAGGTGAAGCAGAAGGCTCCTGAAATTGTCCCAAGGGGTGATTCCTTCAAATACGCCCTGTATAACATGCAACAATCATCCATTTATTTCATCCATTAATGACAAATCTCTTGGTAGCACCATGGACTACTGTAGTAGTACCAGGGAGGTGTTTCACAAAGACTATGATCAAATTTAAAGGGAAAGCTGAGTTCTGTTGCAGGAAGTGTGTAGCCAGGATGTTATTTTAGGGGGGGGGGCGGTAGTGAGCACACAAAGCGTGCAAAGCACGCTCCCTAGAGGTGTGGGTGCAGGGAGGGGGGAGTTTCCTTTGACGTTTCATCAAATTATTAGAGAAAGAAGATGATTTGTTGTACCATTCTCGACTCTTAATCCTTGTCTGAATTCAGTTTCCCCCCTCCCGCGCGAAGCTCGGAAGCTTAGATGTATCATTAAATTAGGAGAGAAAGAAGACGATTTGTTGTACCCTTCTCGACTCTTAATCCTTATCTGAATTTAGTTCCCCCCCCCCCTCCCGCGCAAAGCGTTCTCGACTCTCAATCTTTTTTCTTCCTACATCCTCTTCCTTTCTTCTTTCTCTTCTTTCTTTTCTTTCTCTGAAACTCATTGAAGATTCTCAATATTTGTTAACACCTGCATTTTCTCGTGTACTAAAGAACCAACTTATTTATTTATTCATTTTTTTCAAATGAACGAATCAATTAACTTTTATAGAGGTAAAAGGACTTAAAGCTTTGAAAAAATTTCATCTATTTTTCTACCAAGATTCCCACAAACCTGGTGCAGAAGTCAGCATCTGTGTGTACAACCGTCCATGTTTGCTTGGTAGGGTCCAGGTATTCAACAGTCATGAATGATTCACCAGTCTGTATTAAGATTGAAAGTAAAATCACATGTTACAAAGCACATTATATACCTCACTTAAGAAATCCAGCCATCTGATTGGTCGAAATTGCATTCATAAACTTTAACTATTTCTGTAAAATTCCCAGTAACCATGGTTAAAACAGTTCTAAAATCCCAGTAACCATGGTTACCGAAAAAATAGTTCAGTCTACATGGTTACCCCATAGGTTTACATGTTAAAAAATGGTTTGAGCGATCGAGGATACCGTACGTGTGCGAATAATTGGTAGGTATTTTCATACAAGACAAGACAATTCCAAACAAGACAAAAATGGCTAAAGAAACTGTCCCAAGATTTCAACTTATCAAATGCAAGACTCGCTGACAGCAAGAACAACAAAAAAGGTACGTGAAATTATCCATAAACATGTTCGTTTAGTTGCTGAAAATGGAGTACCAGCATAGACATAGACGAAAATAGATCTAGTTGTCAGGGTGTCTGATCGCGCACCAGATGTTGTGTGCTATATTCTTCCCATAGAGATTACACGCAATGCAGTCTCTATGCAGTCTACGTGCATTGCTCGACCATGCAAAAAAAAAGTCAAGTTTTTTTTTTCAATTCGAGATTCAAACCTTTATCTGTTGTGATCCTGAAGGTGATACTCAATAAGTGAGGTGTCATATGAAAGCGCAGGTTTTTCTCTCTATTCCCCACAGGGCCGGCCCACCCCCAAAATTGTAAAAATATCTTGCTTAGACTAGAATCTAGATCTAGTCTACTCTCAAAGATACACTCATAAAAAACAACCGTGCAGATAAACTAGAGAAAGGCCAAGGTGGTGTCATTAGTATACTCTTTTGTTTTCGGCATATAAAAGTATTAATGACTGCTTTAATATTCGAGAAATAGTTGTTTTTATACGCTCTCGGGAAGGTAACAATTGGGCTATTGCCCTCTGCACGCCTCGGGGCAATAGCACAATTTTAACTTTCCCTTGAGCGTATAAAAACAACTATTTCTCTCAAAGCAGTCATTAATACTATACTATTGTATAGTTTTCAAAAAGGAGAGTAAACACGTCCATGACATATACTATTTCTGGTCATTTTACAATGAAGAAAATAATGATATAACCCAAAAGGGAATTATTTCTGAAAATATTTTCATGTCCTTTTTTTCTTCTATTATTTTTTAATAAAAACATGTATATCATATTGTGAAAATAATTTCTTTCACTCATCAAACAACTGTATATGTACATCTAGTGAGATTTCATACAATAAGACTGTGATGGTTTACCTCCATGACATCATCATCATCATAATACGGTAGTCATAATCTGTCTTCTCATAAGTTTATAGTATGAATATATTGACTGCTATGAGAGGCATAGCTGTTTCCATAGGCTCAACGGGTCATAGCAGGATGTAACGTCCCCAAGAGCCAGTATTGAAACAGCTATGCCTTGAATATATTAAAGCAGTCCATACATCTTTTATATACCGAATTCACAAAAAAATCTACAAAGCATTCTTGCCTTATCCTTTTCTTGAGTAAAGATTGGTTAAAAAATCACATGAAATCTGAGACACTGTCTGTTATTCTTCGCTGGAAAGTTGCCTGAATGTTATGATCATTCGGAAATAGCACACACACTGTATGGTATCTTGACTCGCAAAAAGAAACTTTTTACACGTAAACCAATGGGGATCTCAGCAAAACTTAACTATGCGGCCCGTTACCCGGGCAACTGGGATCTTTCTCATTAACTATTGACTGTTACTGGAGCAACTGGCAATAGTTTGTTTCTTTGCTGGCATGGCTAAAATCACGACTCCAATTTCGACCAACCACATGACTAGATTTGTTCAACATACTAAAAGAGAGATATATAATCAAATTTAAAACACAGCTGTTGTAATTCATATATGTTAGCAGCTCTTGTATTTGCAGTTACACATTGATGCCTATCTTTCAATGTCTAATACATGTACGTTGACTTACTCTCAGATTATTCCGTGGGTTACCAGCTTGAAAAACCGCTTGGACAACTGATCCCTGATATGATAATAATCACAAGAAACAAAGATGCACATGGTTAATTTACTTTCTTGCTTAAATTTCAACATTTAATGCCTTTCACCTTTGAATACCAGACAAACTGCAGCTGTAACTTGTCTGGTTATAAAAGACCTATTGAAGAATAAAGAGTTCAATGACCTTCTTACATCTGTTGTGAGTAATGCTATAGACAAGAAGATGAATAGACAAGAAGACGAACTAGTACTGCAACATCCGATCCTCGACAGGAAACAAAGAAGCCACGACCAAGATCGATAATTGTGAAGTTCACAAGCTACAGAAAGAGAAAGGAAATATTAGAAAAAAGAAGGAAGCTAAAAAATACAGGAATATCAATTGTGGAAGATTTGACGACAAAGAATCAGAAATTGCTTGCAACTACACGCAGTACCCAAGGGGTACAATCTGCATGGTCTTCGGATGGACGAATAATTGCCTTGATTCCTGCAAGTGGAGGGAAAAGTATCACAAAACTCATCACCTGTGATAATGACCTTCAACATATAATAACTCACTGACAAATGACGTCATGGTATACTCTTGCCTCTCGTAAATGGCTCTAGTAACAATGAATTGACTGTAATCCACCTACTCCAAATGGATACTGTGTCATACCTGATTTGTTTGCTGTTGTTGTTGTCATTGCTTGCTTTGTTTGTTCTTTTTAATTTAATTTAGGTATGCTCTGTGTTATATGTAATTGTATAGTGGAACCTAAAACTCTATCTTGCCACATATGTTGTTCTCAATCTGATAGCTTTTACACAAAATCAAAATGTCTTGAAGTATGTACCTCTGTAGAAAAGGATCTCTGCAATTGTCCTTTTCCATCTTGTTTTCATAACATATTTGCCTTTAATAATACTGATGATATCGCATTTGAACATCTTTTTAAAAGGAATGTCAATACTTACCCATACCAACTTTTAAATAATCTCCAAAACACTGAAGATGTTTACTCTGATGACATGGATCATAATCTTGATGTCTTGGACTGTAAATATTATTTAGATGATGATTTCTTAACAAAAGCACTTGAATTCAAAGAAAATTTTAGTATTATTCACTTCAATTCTCGAAGCTTGTCTAAAAACTTTGATGCAATATCCGATTTTATATTTTCTCTTAATTTCGATTTCTCCATCTATGGCTTTTCAGAGACTTGGATCCATGAAAACACACCACATACTTTTAACCTACCTGGATATTCGTTTATACATAATGATCGCAAACATGCTAGAGGAGGTGGAGTGGGTTTGTTAATTTCTGATCTTTTGGATTTTGATATTAGACATGATATCTTAGAATGTTCTGAATATTATGAGTCTTTATTTATAGAAATTGTTATTCCTAGAGGGAAAAATATTATTGTCGGTGTTATTTATAGAAAACCTCAATCAAAAGTTATGGATTTCAATAAACACCTTCAGTCTTGTTTAGAAAAATTGAATATCGAACATAAACATGTATATATAATGGGAGATCTTAATATTAATCTACTGAATCATGATAATGCTTCTGTGAATGAATTTTTGAGTGCAATACATTTGAATAGCTTTGTGCCCTTAATTGATAAGCCAACGCGTGTTACAGAGACATCCTCATCTTTAATTGATAATATTCTTACTAATAACTATGGATCAAATGTGCTTTCTGGCTTATTTTACAATGATATTACAGATCATTTCCCAGTTTTTCAAATAACCCACTTTAAATTTCATGCACAATGTACTCCTACTCGTAAATTTCGTCGTATAAATGAAAGTACTATTAGAGCTTTTGAAGAAAAGGTGTATAATGTTGATTGGAGTGATGTATTTAACTGTACAGATACTGATGAAGTTTATAATATGTTTATAGATATGTTATCCAAAGTTTACGATGATGTATTTGTAATGGGAGACAGTAAGACCACAAGAAAAATTATTAAAAAGCCATGGATAACTGTAAGCATATTAAAAAAGATAAGATTAAAAAATAAATTGTTTAAGAAGTATAGGAAAAATTGTACTGATGACAATAAGAAAAGATATGTCAAGGTCAGGAATAATGTTACTAAAATATTACGTTGTGCACGCATAAACTATTATAAACTTAAATTTCAGCTCTTTAAAGGAAATATGAAAAAAACATGGAATATGATAAATGAATTACTTGGAAAATGTAAGAAGAATTTACCATCATATGTTACTATAAATGGAATAGATGTACATGATGAAAAGGATATTGCTAATAACTTTAATACATATTTTGTAAATATAGGAGCCTCTATGGCTAATTCTATACAACAAGATGATAACTTTGTTGATTTTTTATCTGGAAGATGTAACAACACCATATTTTTAAAACCTGTTAAAGAAACTGAAATATTGGAAATTACTAAAAATATGAACTCATCAAGTAGTAGTGGCATTGATGACATTAGTCCCCTTGTTGTGAAAAAAATTATTTATGGTATTGTGAAGCCTTTATGCTTCATTTACAACCTATCATTCTCATCTGGAATAGTACCCTTGAAATTAAAAACAGCAAAAGTTACACCTGTCTACAAAAAAAAAGATATCCATGATATTTCAAATTATAGACCAATATCTGTTCTTCCCGTCTTTTCTAAGATATTAGAAAGGCTGGCGTATAATAGGATTTTTGATTTTTTGTATAAAAATACTATATTAAATGAATTTCAATATGGTTTTATGAAAAATGTTTCTACTGAAATGGCACTTATTGACTTACATGATTATGTTGTTAATTCTTTTGCAAATAAATTATATACAGTTGGTGTTTTTCTCGACCTGAGTAAGGCATTCGATTCAATTGATTACTCAATATTGTTACATAAATTAAGTTATTACGGTATTAGAGGACTACCTTATTCATGGTTTAAAAGTTATTTACATAATCGAACTCAAGTTGTGTCTTACAACAATGTCATTTCAGATTCTTCTAATATTTCATTTGGTGTTCCTCAAGGATCGATTCTAGGTCCTTTGTTATTTCTATTGTTTATCAACGACCTCCCAAATTGTTCTAAAATATTAAAATTTATATTGTTTGCTGATGACACCAATATCTTATACTCAACAGATGATCATTTATCATTGTCAACTAATTTAAATAACGAACTACTAAAGGTCTCTAAATGGTTTAATGCCAATAAACTTACATTAAATATAGATAAATCAAATTATATGTTATTTTATACTGTGAAACAGAAACAAAAGTATAGTACTTTGCAAAACTTAGTTGTGAAACTCAATAATTCATCAATTGAACGTGTATATTGTACAAAATTTCTGGGTGTTTACATTGATCATGATTTATCATGGAAGACTCACATCTCTTATGTCAGAAAGAAGTTATCACAGAATATCGGTGTCATCAGCAAATTATGCCATATCCTACCAAAATGCATTCTTATAACATTGTATAATACTTTAGTCCTGCCCTACTTATCATACTCTAATGTTGTATGGGCTAATACATATTCTTCCAAATTGGAAGCCATTTTTATATTACAAAAGAGATTTGTTAGAATTGCCTCATCATCTTCATACTTGGCACATACTAAACCCTTATTCATAAAGTTAAGCATACTGAACATTTATAAATTAAATAATTATTTTAATGCAATACTACTTTTTAAACACAAGCTTGGTTTATTACCCAATAATTTATGCATTATGTTAACTTTAAACTGTTCAGTTCATAATTATAATACTCGAAACAAAATGAATTATTATTTATCTGCTATTACAAAACAATATGAATTACACTCTTTTAGACACAAAGCTCCTTCTGTATGGAATTCCTTACCGTCAGACATTACTTCTATTAATAGCCTGAACTCATTTAAAAGAAAGCTTAAATTATATCTTATTTCTAATAATCTTATATCATAAAAACACTCAATTACTCCACAATGCAAATTTGTTTAGGGTTGTGCGGTCTACATGTATGTTTTTGTTTTTGCTTATGTTCTACTTTGATTTGTTTTGTTTTGTTATTTTTTGTTATTGTTTATTCAAATACCATATATCATTTGTATGATTCCTATACTGTTTTTTTTTTCAGGTGGCTGTCCAGACAAACCCTCTAGGGTTTTTATACAGCAACCTAATTCCTATTTGTTTGTTTTTACTGTCAATATTGTACTATGTTAATCATATTTATGTAAAAGTAATATTTTGATGTCACCGTTTTTGTTTTTTTACTATGGAATTAAATAAATACTGAACTGAACTGAACTGAACACTCTTATTTCTTTAAATTTTGATATTTTTACACTGCAAGAAATCTTGATAATCCTTGTAAAAGTGTCAGAAATGTGTGAGATATAAGAAGGACATGCACTTAAATTGTGTATGCAAATAACTTTGTGAAGGAACTATTTCATCATGATTACATCAGCTTTCCAAATTATAGAGTAAGAGGTAGCTGGACTTTTGATACAAAGAACTTCAGAGAGGGCCTCAAATATTTGAAGTTTATTTATATCACAATCATGAACATTGGCAGAACTGACTCATGCAAAACTACAATACAATGTACAGGTTCACTATACAGAGCCAATCTTGCACAGCTAAACATGCAATAACACCATATTATGGATTTGAATGTAATAATGTATTCAACAATTGATGTTCTGACCCGACATGGCTGTTTAAAATTCATCTGATGCACAGGATCAACAAAATACATACAAAATATGTTTCTTTTGTATTGATTTGGTTTGATTTGATTTTTTAAATTGTCCAGAATTAGTGGACATTTTTGTTCTTCACATGGTTACAAGGTTTATAAATCAAGTATGAATCAATGGAACAAACTTCAAACATCACATTACTCATGAATCAATGAGTGAGTCATATTAAAGGGATCCGATAACTTTGTCTCAGATTCTGAAACAAAAATCCTGGATTTAGCTCATGCTGCAATGATTATTATAAACCTTTAGGTCAATCAGGAACCCCATGACTTTTACAGGCCGATCGCCTGTCTGATTATCAAGATATTTATGATTGAAATCACAAATTTTGAAAATCGTTTGTCAAACGTTTTTCATAACACTACAGTCTATTGGGGAAAACGAGTATGGTAAAACCGGTCACTCAAAGGTTTTTACTTTTTTGAGGCACTCTTTGATCATTTTGAAGCGCAATTTTTTTAGGGCTTCAATATTACACCATATCACAGACACTGATAACACGTAGGGCCGTGCAGCTCAGATTTATCATTGTTAAACGATCCCTTTAATAATCTAAACTTAATCTTTATATAATCAACACTAAATTGTCTGAAATGGCAACAAGGATGAGAGGATATCATGATTATAACTCACCTTCTTAAAAGTTGTGCCACTGACATCTGTGAGGACTTCTCCAAAGCTCTTTCCGATGGGAGTTTCATCAAAGAAGACCGGTGGAAGAAAGGACACCTGATCATCAATCAGACTCTTTGGGATGGGACCTCGTGGTGGAGTCTTATCCTGAGTGCAAGTAAATAGTTTTAAAGGGAAAGTTATGAAGGTAATTTTAGACCCCAAAATGTGTAAAAATTTAGTGTAAAATGGAAAGGAAGATATGAACTTTACTGAATTAGTGTGCATTTATTTATCAGAAATTAGTAACTGGAGAAGGACTGAATTTATCTTCTTCAGCTCTTCTCAACAGATGAAGAAGGTCATCGCTCCCCATCTCATAGTTGGTGAGGCACGTGTTAGTCCGGCTTCCAAAGTATGCTCACTAGGTCTAACACTGGATTCCAACATGTCAATGGAACCCCAAATCTCTTGCTGCGTCTGATCAGCATGTTATCACATTGGGCACATTCGTCGATCCGAGATTACCTGACACCACATGCCACGAACAGGCAGTCCATGCACTTGTCACATCACGATTGGACATGTTCAAATGTACCCTGAATGGACTGCCCAACACTCTCATCAAACGACAGCAGAAGGTCAAAAATTCTGCGGCTCGGCTTGTCACCCGATCAAAGTTATTTGATCATATCACTCCCGTTCTCGAGGACCTACACTGGCTGCCTGTAAGGCAAAGACAAGGTACTTTCCCTGTTTTTTTAATTTAAAACCAACCAGACACCCTTGTACTTGTCAGATCTACTGGAGGAGAAGAGATCTTCCAGACTTGGACTGCGTTCAGGAAATATCCACCATTTAATTCATCGTTTTGTTCTTTGTATGCATTTGAATATTTTGGTATGATTGTATTTATATTATAAATTTTGTACAAGTTGTGAAATTTGTACTGTATGTATGTATCACCTGGAAAGAAAGTTTCTTCATTATTTGGAAGAAGACAATAAAATTCTATTCTATTCTATTCTATTCTATTCTATTCTATTCTATTCTATTCTATTCTATTCTATTCTATTCTCTGTAGCAGCCCCACGTTTGTGGAATGCACTCCCGTCATACATTAAATCAAGCGAAACAATTGAACTATTCCATAAGAATCTAAAGACCTAACTTATGAAGGAAACATATGATTAACTCTCATGAACATATTTGTTGTCATTTTGATTTCTTATTGAATCTGTAATTTGCATTTGTCAATTGATTTGTTGCTTTATTATTAGTTTGTTAACTTTAATTTGTTTATTGTTTGTATTTGAATCGTTAGTAGTGAATCTTTTTGTACCCCTTGAGTGCCATTATAGGCAGATATGTGCGCTATACAAATCTTAAATTATTATTAGTAGCATTATTATAATTGAAAATGTTTTGTAATATTTCCACTGCTAGGGGATGTACTATGTATTAGCTTTAATAGCCTTGATATTCAAAGTATTATACAAGCATATAAAATTATGTGGATTATGTTGACTCACAGTCCCCTTCGAAACAAACATTGACAAGGCACATCAACAAAAACAAGACAGATATGCAAGCCTCACACATGACATAACAGCCTTGTATCATCGTCTCATTTATTTGACAGTGTCATTTGTTGTAAAATGCATCCGTAGTTGTCATGATGTACCCGATTATGTTCTTCTCATTCCCAGTTCAAGACGCTCCCATAGTCTTTTCTTCAACCATCGACTTGCAAGATCAAATGCTCTGAAATTTTCATGCTTTTATGCCTTTCCTAGGTTCTGGGATACTTTACCTGAAGAGATCAGGAATTTGTGTGCGGACACCTCTATATCGCCCTGTTTGAGTGCGCTGAGAGGTTTGCTCTTTGAGCAGTCTCCCATTGAGAGGGCGTTTTGATGTAGGTATTGGAATTTCGAGCAGGGTGGTGTAGAGGTCTCTACGCCCGGATCTCTGATCCCTTCAGGTATTACATTAAATGAATTACATTAAATTGAATTATGTTATTTTATTTTACCGTTACTTCTTAAATTAACACCAGCGGACGTGGAGAACCTCTTGACAGAATGGAAATACTTTTAGGTAATCCTCAGGTATCCGCTGGTGGTATTTTCACTGTCTTGTAACTCTTTAATGTAAAGGCCCAGTCCCACTGGCCAATGGACACAAAACGTATGCATAAAGGACACAGCGGACGAGCAAAATTTAGGGGGTGGCTCCATCCGTTTTCATCCGCTCCAGAAATGGACAAAATTGGCGAAAATTTGCGAAAACAGAATGGAAAATAACGGACGTGGGTAGTATGTAGCGGGATGTTAAACGGATGTTCATCAGAAGACTAGCGGATGAAAGCGGATGGAAGTGAATGACAGCTCTGAAGGGGTTACCGGGGATAATTGCGAAGCGGACGCATAGTAGAAAGAGCGGATGCATAGCGCATGAAGCGGATGCATCACGTACGCCTAACGGAAACAAAAGGGATGCCGAGCAAATGTATATCGGATGCAAACCGTTCACTGCGCATGCGGTGGGTATGAATTGCGTCCGCTTTGTGGATATAAAGGGATGCAGCACGCACCCATTCAGCATAAAGCGGAAAGACGTGCTGGCGGCTACATCGATACATCTCTACTACATCTCGTTATTGAAGAAGGCTACATTGATACATCTCTACTACCTCTTGTATCAACACCATGGTGCGTCAGTCAGGCAAGAAAAGGAAGTGTCACTTTCTTGCTCATGCGCAGTAAAGGCCTCATTTCATCTACGGCTCAGGAAGGATGAGGGAGAGTGGACACGCCCTATATTTACTTAATCAGACATGCCAACGCGTCATTACTACATACGCACATCATCACTACAGATGCGCAGTTTTGAAGCAACAATATAGACCAGGCCTTCTCATCTAGTTTATTAGAAGTGCCAAAACAAAAATTTATTGAGGTTGAAGTGCCAACCTGTATGTTTGGTGACTGTATTATGAGAGAGCGTAGCGACCGAGCCGATACCTTGTGGGGTCTAGGGGGGCAAAGCCCTCGGAAGCTAGTGGATTTTAGGGCTTTTTTAAGGCCCAGATGTGGTATTTTTAACACCATTTTGTTCCATAAAACATTGATCATAATTTCATACTGATGTGAAATAATTAGTACAATTCCTGGCTAAAATTTACACTGGAAGTTAATTCATATGTAGTTATTTTGGTGCAATAAACACGGAAAATGTCAAAATCAAGTGAAAATCAAACAAACAAAATGGCTTGCTTACATTTTGGGCTGAACTTCGACTACGACTTTTTGATTTTGCTGAGTTTTTTAATTTTTAGAATATGATTTTATAATTTTTTCTTTCTGTAATTTTGATTTTTTTTTAAATATATTTTTATTAAGCTTTTGGAACAGCCGTGCGCCACTCCGACTGACCGCAAGCGCCACAAGTGGCGCGCGGGCCGCCAGTTGAGAAGCCCTGATATAGACGCATCATTCAAGAAACAGGTCACTTTAAAATACATTTGGCCAGTTGCAGACCAACTCATGTGTGTCTGCATCTGGCCACTGAAGAGTGTGATACTTAAACCTTTTTCTTTTTTTCTTCTTTTTTTGGACAAGTCATTGCCCTCCACCTGCCGGATGGAGGTTTTTTAGGCTGATTTGTTTTTCTTCTTCATATTTTAGTATTATTTTTTTAGTATTTAGAATGTTTAGTAGGTTTGTATCACTTTAAGAATATATGTTAATTGAATGGTATAAGTGTGGAAACATCTCAAGCCTTTGGCTTATATTTCCAAACCTCTGTTTGTTTCTCCACGCAGTATACTGTTTAATGTATTATGATCGTAACTGCCTATTTCAAGTCTACTGCTATTGTTTATTTATTCTCATGTTGATCAGATAGTGTTCTTTGATGAACCATACCAAAAATAAATAAATAAATAAACAAATAAATAATACATTAATAAGTAAATAAATTCAACAACAAAATAATAATAATCATTAATCAAATAATAAATAATTAAATAAATATATAAATAAATAAATAGATAAATAAATGAACAAACAAATAAATAAATAAATGAATAAATAAATAAATTAATAAATTAATAAATAAATAAAATAAATAAATAAATAAATAAATGAATAAATAAATAAATGAAAAAATATATAAATAAATAAATAGCTAACTAGCTAACTAACTAGCTAACTAACTAACTGGCTAACATGCTATTGACTGACCTGCATCATATTTGTTGTAAGGTTTCTGAACTGGTTGATGTATGCTTGCAGAGTGTGCTGCCCAAAGATCGTAGAAGCTCCCTCATATCTCTGCACCTGTAGATTATATTACAGAGAGAGAGAGAGAGATGATGATGAAGATAAGGATGCTGAGGATGATGATGGTATGGTGATGATGACAACTACACCAAGAAATATAGTGACTGTACATCTTTGAAATCTTCAGCATTCAACATAAATAGTAATGCCGCTTATCTGATTCAGGATTGCGTGCAATGGCTGCACAGAATGTATGCATCTTCTCCACTCCTTGGGGAGCATTTCGTAATTGTTTTTTGCCAGGCACCTTTTAAAAGACGCTCACAATAGTAACAATTAATCTGGTCTCTGAACTTATATAGCACTTAATACAGAATACCTTCTAAGCGCTTTACAGATATCATTATCATCCCAGTTGTTGGATTCATTCACACAAACGAGTGCACCATTTCCACACAACAACTCCAATGGTTATTCAAATTCATTAAAGAAAAGGGATGTAGAGGTGTTGTGGTCTAGTGGATAAGTCACGCGACTGCAGATCACAAGGTACGGAGTTCAAGCCCCGCCGCGACACTAATGTCCTTTGGCAAGACGTTAATCTTCATTTGCCACTCTCCATCCAGGTGTTAAATGGGTACCCGGTAGGATGCGAAAGTTAATGTGAGCGTTGTGAGCGTCTGTAAAATAATACCTGCCTGGCCAGGGAGTGGAGAATGTGCATACACGTTATGCACATTTTGTCTTACATCGTCACTTGTATTAAACGCTCTATAAAAGCTGAATATTATTATTTCTCATTATCGTTATTGTTATACCAACGTGCAAGTAGATGGAACATATGAAGACATACAGTTTCAACAAGTTAGGTGCTTCAAAGCCTTACAGGATTTTTGTATTTAATTGTACTTTTGCAATTTTATTGTTGTTGAAAATAAAATGAACATATGTACAAGTATCATACTGGTAATAAGGTATAAAACATTATCAAGCCCCAATTTTTTTTTGTGATGTTATGATTTCATTCATACCTGGTACTCCTCGTATGTCACAATATAGTCACTATAAGTATTGGTCAATCCTGCTACTACCGCTGTAGCATTAGCTGAGGCTCCGTTTGCAATCATCTCCTGTAAGACAAGGACATAAGAACATTTATCAATAATACTGTTCCCGTATTTTTATTTTTTTTCTTTCCATTTAAAAGAAATACCATTTATTACATCATTTTCCTTACAATAACAGTAATCAGTAAGTATTTGGACAATAAAATAATTTATCAGGTGGATGTTTCTTTCATACCATATGTTTATAATCAGTTACACTTTACAATTTTGTATTTGTAGTTTCTTATTTTATTTATTTTTGTATTAATAATCTTTGTTTTGTATGTTTCTTTATAAAGCGTGCAAGTTGTACTTATCAAGTCTGTTAAAATTTGATATGCATTGTTTTTATCGAGCAGGGTCCTCAGAGATAGCAGTTTGTTTATTGAAGAGACAACCCTGCTTAAATAAAACAGTAAATAATTAAATAAATAAATAAATAAATAAATAAATAAATAAATAAATAAATAAATACTAAAAAATGTAGCATTCATCTGAACATCATTTTTATTACTTTTTACAATAAAGTAATCTCCTTTAGTGACACATTTCATCAAAGCTTTATGCAACTTACCTTGGTGACGGCCTCTCTTACTCTCCTTCCTGACATTGTTCTGAAAGTCAGAAAGTAATTTGTAAAGAATTTATACCAAATAAGAATATATATTTGTTATTACACAGCAAAATGATGAGCATGAAGATAAATAGACATCAAGAAATACTTGCCTCTAATTACCTCCTGAGCAAATACATTGTTTAATTACTAAATTTAGCATACACATCTCAAACTATGTTACAAACAAGACAGCTACAATTAGTTGCCATTTCTATTAAGTGTACCAAACTTTGTTTTTAGGCTAAACTGCAGCCCAAATTGGATATGACTGATATTCTGATTTTCAATGATCTTACGATGTATTCTTTCATGTGTTTTCATTCTCATATGAAAAAAAAACTAGATGGAATTCGACTGCACGCAGTCGAAAATGATGCCTCCGTCATAGAGCAATTTTACAAACCAAAACAGAACACATTTTTCGATTTCAAGTTCAATTGTAATCCATTAACAGGTTCTCAGAATATCGTGATTACAAGCAATTTCTCATATACATATACATGTATGACCCTTTGATCTTTGACCTCATGACCCTAAAATCTACTCAGTTCATTGGCTCTGCAAGATGTCCTGAGTTAAATAGTAATCCATCTGTCAGTTCTAATGAGAATGTGTTCACAAGCTATTTCTGCATACATAATGAGCCCATGACCTTTGACCTTTGACCTTATGAACCAAGAATCTACTCAGTTCATTGGCTCTGCAAGTAACATACATGACCTAATTTTGGCAGGAATCCATCAATCGGTTCTGGAGAACGCGATCACGAGCTGTTTTTGCATACATAATGTGCGTTGTGGCCTTTGACCTTTGACCTCGTGACCCCAAAATCTAATCACTTCATCGGTTCTGCAAGTAACATACATGACCTAAGTTTGGCAGCAATCCATCACTCGGTTCTTGAGATAACGCGATCACAAGCTGTTTTTGCATACATAATGAGCCCTGTGACCTTTCACCTTTAACCTCGTGACCCCAAAATCTAATCAGTTCTTTGACTCTGCAAGATACATACATGACCAAAGTTTGGCAGGAATCCATCAATCGGTTCTTCAGATAACGCGATCACGAGCTGTTTTTGCATACATAATGAGCCCTGTGACCTTTGACTTTTGACCTCGTAACCCCAAAATCTAATCAGTTCATCGGCTCTGCAAGATACATACATGACCAAAGTTTGGCAGGAATCCATCAATCGGTTCTTCAGATAACGCGATCACGAGAACGGGACGTACGTACGTACGTACAGACGGACGGACGGACAACCCGAAAACATAATGCCTCCGGCTACTTCGTAACGGAGGCATAAAAATGTGAAAGTTTAAAATTGAAGTGTTTTAAAGGTATCGTTTAACAATGTTAAATCTGAGATGCACGGCCCCACGTGTTACCAGTGTCTGTGTTATGAAAACTGTTAGGAAAAACGCAAAATCTGGTTTCGATTTCCAATCATAAATATCTTGATAATCAGACAGGCGATCGGCTTGTAAAAGTCATGGGGTTCCTGACTGACTTAAAGGTTTATAATTATCATTGCAGCATGAGCTAAATCCAGGATTTTGTTTCAGAATCTGAGACAAAGTTACCGGATCCCTTTAAGTAAAAATGAAAGCAATTATTATTGACTACTAAAGAAAATTTAGCATAAACATCTCAAACTATGTTACAAGCAAGCAAGACAGCAGCAGCAATAGATGATGTTGCAACACAATTTATTGGATTTATTAACATGGTTTTGTTGCAAATTTCCTTACGTGAATTCCCCAGGTATAGCAAGGATTGCGAAATCCCCGATGCGAAGAATCTGGGTGTCCACAATGTGAGGTGACCATTCATATGGAAAGTTCATCTGAGAGAACAAAAGTAAACATAGGTGTTAAATTTATTTTTAAATCTGATAAAGGAAATTCACAGGGGGGGGGGGGGAGTTGAAGGTTCTTAATTAACAAAGAACTCAAAATTAAAAGAAAGAAATTCATGCAAGTCTATGGGTAGGACAACCAAGAATCATAAACATTCCTCTTCCTCTTTTCCTTCTCTTCCTCCTCCTTCCTGTTCTTCCTCTTTCTTCTCCTTCCCCTTCTTCTTCTTCATCTTCTTCTCCTTATCTTCTTGTTCTTCTTTTTCTCCTATTTTCTTTCTTCCATTCATTCTTTATAACATATAAACTGCATGACTACGGTAATTCAAATTTTAAATTAAAAAATGTCAACTTTGCTTGGTCATGATATAAAGCTAACCTAGCCCAGGTTAATACAAGCTTTCAGCTTCATTGTACATTACACATTCCTCCTTGTTTACAATTTTTCGGCCACGAATACCATGTTTACACAGTGACTCGGCTCGGGGGTTCAACAAGCGAGCCGTGCTCAACACTGCAATTTTATGTCATGTAAACGTAATCACTGTGATCCGTGAGCCATGTCGAACCCGGCTAGCTACATGTTAGCTAGATAGGTCATTACTCAGCTCTTCTTGTCCTTGCTTGCCTCTGCTTACGATCGGTCTTCCTAGGTAATAATACTCTTTTGGGGGTAGTGAAATTCTACTTACACCATGTACATGTATGCTCATTAGATTGACTGTAGGACCTATGTTCACTATATACCCTGTACGAGAATGGAATTATTTATTTAAGCAACGCTAAATATAGTGCTATCACCACGGCAACTTTTAATTTCCAGTGATCCGCGGGTGTGTCAACTCGCCTTTTTTTGTTTCCGTATAAATACAATCACAGTTGCCCTCTTCGTAGGGTTCGACCCTGCCCGAGCCGAGTCACTGTGTAAACATGGTAATGGTTTTACACCTGCCTGTGCAAAGTTCATTTCAGGCGTTTTCTGTGTAAATTACAACCTGTCAATCAAAGATACCTCAAAACTTTTGAAACTCTGCTCCTGAAGTAGGTCACAAGTTCGATTGCTTTGCTCTTAAAGCAGAACATTCAAATATCCTTGCAGTTTGATTTTTGTACATTAGTATTTGCATTTGCATGTTTACATCATAAACCTTTAATTGCGAGGTTGATTGATTGATTGAAGCTCTGTATTTACCTCTCCTGTAGCCAGAAGGATTGGCTTAGGATGTTGGCAGGCGATGAGCTCGGGTGAGGGTTTCTTTAAAGCATTCCTTACAAGGTTCCAGAACAGGTTGCCCTCTGTGACTCCTAATGGTCAAAGGTCAAAGGTCAAAGAGAAACATATAAAAAGGGCTATTGAATAGTTAGGACCACAGCCAGGTCAGAGAGATAGTTACGTCAAGGGAAAGTGATTCTGATTGGTCAGCTATTTCATGGAGCTCCAAATAGTTCCCTCCCTTAGAGAATAGGGCACTTTCGCAAACACGACGGAAGTAAAGATGAGAGAATTCACTCAACTGACATCACCCTCTACTATGCTCCCGTCTTCATTTGTAACCTGTTTCGGTACCAGGGACAGGGACGTTGATGTGTAGTTTTGATAGATTTTTTTTTTTTCAACTCAAGAATCAAAAGAGAACTGAATAAATAAGAGCCTTTTTTATTACTTTTAGATGTAAGCTTCGATATGTCACATTCTCAAGAAACAAACATATGGACAAATTAATTTTGCACATGCTTAAACATTTACAAAACAGGATAAGAATATGACTAATTTAGTTGTTAACTGTACATCTAATTTACCTTGGGTGAAATCAAAGGCTCCCGGTCCGTCTGTTGTTCCAGCCGCAAAGCTGTAACCCATAGAGGGCTTGCAGGTTTTCCCCTGTAAATAATAAAGAAAATATAATTATTAAGTAAAAATTGAGGTAGTTAATTAAAAAAGATAACAATTTAGGCATAGATTTATTCATTTTACCTGTAATAATAATAATAAAAATGTTACTTATAAAGTGCTTACATGATTAATACATCAATCCAATATTGCATGAGAACTCTTAAACACTGGTAAGTACTTCACAGATAAAATAACTTATTTCATTTGTTCCTAAATTCATACTCCCTGTCATTTGCCCGAAATTAGCAAAGTGTATGGCACAATTACATGTACGTAGCTATAATCATATCATTTGATCAATAAATCTTTGTTATTCTTTCTAAATTCTGGGTTGAGAGCAAGAAATAATTTGTTTACCTTGAAGCTTGAATTGTAATGCACGGTCACATCCGTCATGTTTACATACTGATGGACAAATCCTATAGGACCAGTTAGCATTCGACTAGCAACGCTGTACAACTCCTGAAAAATAAATATTCATCAAGAAATTTTGAAGTATATGAAGGAGTAATGCAATAGCTTAGTGGTACAGCAGAGGTTTCATAACCAGGAGATCACATGTTCGAAACCAAGTCAGTGCGCTCATGCCCTTTAAAGGCAAATCCTCATTACCAAGTCCATCGGAGAGGATTTGAAGCCGTCAGTCCCCTGGTTGCTTACTTACAAGCGTATGCATGTGCATGCTTTCCCAGCAGTCAGGTAGAACAATCAACAAACAAACCATTGTTGTGTTTTGTATTAATGATTCTCAGGTTTGAGTGGTAGTCGCATTAATTGTTGTTTACGATTCCTAGTTATCTTGGGAACCCACTCAATTGTTAGAATAATCCAAGATATCTGGGGATCTTCATTCACCTTCAAGACCCCCCTCTCCCCCTCTCCCTTCTCTCTCTCTCTCTCCTTCTGTATCTATTTATCTATCTATCTTTCTATCTATCTCTCTCTATTTCTTTCTCTCCCTCTCTCTCTCTCTCTCTCACTCTCTCTTTCAATCTCTTTCCATCTTGTTGATCTCATTAATTAAAGGGACTAGGTAACATTGTTCAGATGAGGGAAAATGGTAATTTGAAGATAATTTGAAAATTTGAGTTAAAAAAATAGACCATTATCAATGATAACAATTGGGAAAAACTGATCTGATTGATTCCTTGATTCTCCCAACTATATCATTACAATTTAATTACATTGTAGGTGAATGTAAATACTCACAAAGCAATGGATTGGCTCTATATACCATTCCAGACATTTAAGTGTTGACAGATTTTTAAAAGCCTGTCTTATGTATTATTTTCATGGAAAAACGGTTGGGAAAATTCAAAAATGATTGGGAGAATTAACTGTTAGAGAGTGTCGCACAGTGACACCTTCAAAGAAAACCAAAAATATCTTTTTGGTTTCAGAATTTGTTCAGGATTTTTTGCATGTTAGAGGATTAGTACAGTAAAAGGAATATAATAGGTAACATTTCATACAAAAATTACGCAAATTTTTCATCAACTTTCAACAAAGTTACAGATTTACTTTAATATCTGTTCCTTTCTTACCATTGCTTTCTTATACTGGTTTTCACCAATGATCCTTGTGCTGTCAAACATGTCTTCACCAGGTCCAAAGGCAATGCACATTTCAGTCTGAGCGAGTGAAAAGTCAAAGGAGAAAATATTAAAGTGAAATAATAAATCAGATATTACATGTTCTTGCAGCACATATTCATCACTCACACTCACACTTTGCTTTTTCACGATATATGTCCAATCCTAATGGATCATTCCCAGATCTGAATTCATAATTCACTTCTGTTATTCACAAATCATTAACATTGCAAATTATTTCTGTCAATATTTTAATCATAAATGCCAGGTCATATACTGTACAGTATAGCTCATTATCACACAGGGAGCTCACTGGTAGTAAATTGTAAACTGAAGAAGTCTTCTTAAAATTAAACTAGAAATAAATAAACAAACACAAAATAGGAAAAGGGATAATACCATCTGCCCACATGTACATGTTTAGAAAGTGTCAAGTGAGTAATGAAAATGCTACACAATAAAGCCTTTCCAGAGCACTTGTATAATGAACAACAAAATTGACAGTTCCTTTACACAAGGACAAGTCCCACTTTGTGCATTTTAGAATAATCACTGCCAAAGTGATGGAGGTGCTTAATGAATACTCTTTGTTGGCCCTCTTGAAAAGAATACTTCCACCTGTGTATTATATAGGTACTGCCAGTGCATAAATAAATAGTGATTACATAACTTTCATGAACATATCCAGCAGTCATCTCAATGGGTTTTACAGTTTTGTAAAAACAACCTTATCTCCGAAGTGACTTAAAAATACTATGTCCCTTTTGCAGCCAACATCAAATTCTGTAAAACTTTGCAGGAATTATGAATATGTCATGTATGTCCTATCTGTGAAACTTAAACATTAGCAGTGTCCTAATATTCAAATTATGCAAGGAAACCCGTTTACTTGCTAGACTTCACTGTCAGACACTATTGAGTGACTAACTGGCTTTTTTTCATCTTTGGTAATAACATACATAAAATGAGCTGTAAAGGGTACATGAGCATTTTTCTACATCAATAACCCACTTCTTGTAATGGCAAAATTAAACTGATTGAATCTTTGCGCAGCATAAAGCGTACCATTCGGTACAATGGTCTGAAAAATCAGACTATTACTTACTCGCTCTATAGTTCATAAGTTGATTCGACAACTAATAGTCATTATTTTCCCACTTAAAGATATTTTCAAGCCCCATTTTTTTTAGGGAAGTTCTAAATTAGTATTGTCTTTCAAATGCCGTAGGAATTTAACCTTTTAATTTTTTGGCCTGCAAATGGGACATAGTACCTTTAGAGATCAGGAGTCTTTTTTTTATACCTTTCCACCACAGGTGCTGCTGTTCCTGTCACAAGGCAGTCCAGTGTCGATGCAGCGAGCTCCTTTAGTGTTGGGCGACACATCGCCAAGGTTACTGGAAGCAAACGCGGCTACAAACTTGCCCTGGAGGATAAACGAGACACAGTGGAAAACAATAATAATAACGGTTACATTTATATTGTGCCTGTATCTAAAACAGGGACTGCTCACTTCATGTATATTGTTTTTGTAGTTGTTGTTAATGTTGTTGTTGCTGCTGCTGTTGTTATTGTTGTAGTTGTTTTTGATGTTGTTTGGGTTGTTGTTAATGTTGTTGTTGCTGCTGCTGTTGTTATTGTTGTAGTTGTTTTTGATGTTGTTTGGGTTGTTGTTAATGTTGTTGCTGCTGCTGCTGTTGTTATTGTTGTAGTTGTTTTCAATGTTGTTTGGGTTGTTGTTAATGTTGTTGTTGCTGCTGCTGTTGTTATTGTTGTAGTTGTTTTTGATGTTGTTTGGGTTGTTGTTAATGTTGTTGCTGCTGCTGCTGTTGTTAATGTTGTAGTTGTTTTCAATGTTGTTTGGGTTGTTGTTAATGTTGTTGCTGCTGCTGCTGTTGTTAATGTTGTAGTTGTTTTCAATGTTGTTTGGGTTGTTGTTAATGTCGTTACTGCTCACCTTGCCTGGTAGAGCTCCTGGATTGAAATGTTTCTCCATGAGCTGTGAGGCATATCCCTTGTTGTCGCCACTGATCAGCTTGTTGGTGTTGTTCATGCAGGTTCCATGGACTGCAAACCAACTGTGGTATTAAAGAAGGGATAAATCATATAACGATTTTCAACTTAGCATTCAGCAACTTTACTCTTTAGAAACTGCAATTGAACTAGTGCTATGCTTACAACTTTATGGGTATTGAATATTAACTTTTCTTTTTTAACATGAGAGATATTTTACACTACTACTTATGCTTCATTTATATTTGCCCCGGGCGCAGAACGATAAATTGGTCTGCGATTTTTTGGGTATTGTAGGAGGCTACGGACTACGATGTTTGTGTTTACATACAGTGGATCTACGAGCATCATGCCATTTCTTGTATTGGTCCTCGGGGGGGGGGGGGGGGGGGGGGGCAGGCTGGGGAAATCTGTACAAAGGCTGCTCGGATATTGTACGGAAATCATGCAATTTCAGTGCAGTAGCCGTGCAGCTTCCGCACAGAGGTTGCGGAGAAGGAGCTCTGCCTGTGCAGCCGCCGTGCCGTTTTTGAGCGTCCGAGTCCCCAATATACAAGGAAGAGCTCTGTGTATATACATCATTACACACAACTTTATATTTTTGCTCCTGGTTGCCAATCGCACATTGATAAACTAGAAGTTTAAGATATATATTTATGTAAACATTGTGTTGCGACAACACAATGCCTAAATCAAGCATATGTGAAAAGGGAAGGAAATCCAAGGAGGCCTGATGACGACGAAGAAGCTGACATTAACGAGAAGGTTGTGCAGTTTTTTGAGGACCGACGCTATTTCTACGACATCGCCATGAATGTTGGGCCAACAAGAAGCTTTAGGATGCGGAGCTGAAGGCGTTTGCAGAGACTATCGGCTGGGACCATTTTTTTGTACAAATGAAAAATGAACCAAAAAAATTGCACTCCAAATTTGGTTTCAAATATTGTGCAAAAATATTTATTTCTTCACGGTTGTGCAATGCCACCTATGACATGTCTACTGGCTACAGACTTACAATTTTTTTACAAAGTTGTATAACTTCCCCCGAAATAAAGTCGTAGAGGCGGCGGAGCCCGTGAATCCGTACGAAAATCTCACGGCCGCCTCCTGCCTCTGTACGTACACAAAAGGGGATACAATAAATAAAACCTAAACCTTAATGTCCTTTCAAACCTGAGTTTATTTGTTCCGCATATACATCAAAGTAATTCAGATTCATACAGACTATAGAGTAAAAAAAAATCATTAGGGTAGATAACTTAAATGAAGTTTAATGTATGGTAAATAGCAAGGTGTTTTGAGAGCAATGTAGATATGACAAGACAATATAAAAAGAACAAAAAAATGTAAAATGTGAGGATCCTATAAAAAAAGCAAACCTTTTACAAGATCAGGCTTCTGTGAAGAGTAGTATTATAAAGTCTGATTATTTAGTAAGAGGAGAATCAGTGAAGTAGTACCAAATTTAAGAAATGTACAAGGAGAAAAAACCTCCAAGTAAGGAAGGAGAGAAAAGAAGAAGAAGGAGAAGAAGAAGTAGAAGAAGAAAAGGAGAAAAAAAAATAGTAGTTAAAGAAGAAGATGAAATATTATGAAAGGGAGGTATAAGTAGAACATCAATAGAAAAGATAATGGCAAGACAGTGTATATCTTACTTGATCATTCCTATGTCTGCCCCATTTGTATCCACCAGTTTTAGAACTGTCATCAGTTTGTCCACGTTGTACTTATATCTGAATAGAGGGGGTAAATATCACACTGAATATTAATTATCTGTAAGTATCTACAGTACAGAGGTATATGCAAACAAGGATGATTTCTATCCATTCCATTAAAAGGGCTATAATATTAAAGATACAAAGTATAAGAGCAGAGTATAACATAATCCTGGAAATATAAATTGCGACCTGATATTGTTGTTTGGGCAGACTCAGTCAAGTACTTTAAAGATATAATAGCATAATTTTTTTTTTATATGAGAGCAGTTTTCCATAAGGAACAGTCCAAACAGCATTTTAAAAATGTGTATTCCAATAATTATCATTTGACTCTGATTAGAAGGGAAAACACAATATTCAGTAAAAAAAATAGAACAAGACTAGCTTTGACAAGACACCCGCATTATTTATGCAAATTACATTTAAGTTTGCAAGCTTAAATTATTTATAACATTGTGTTTCTACAGGAGACCCAGAAAGTATGTTTTGCTGTTGGAGTGGACTGTTGTTGAAATTAGAATCAATTTAAAATTATTTCACATTCACAATACTGTACATTGTAATAAAGAATTGCCCTTCCTTTATATCTAGTTTTAAAAAAAAATTAAAAATAATCTTATTAAATCATACACCCTCCAAGTCTGTAAAGCGGTACTTGCCTTGTCTTCTCTTTCTTCCTTTTGAACCACTTTTATGTATATTTAATTACTTATAGTTTAGGGACAAGCCTTTGATAGGCCTTTGGTCTTTGTTTGTCCCCCCACATTTTGATACTTCTGTTCGGTTGTGTTATTTGTTGGAATTGTCTTTGTCTTGTGTATGTTTTTTGTTGTGATTTTTATCAAATGTGCACATAAAAATGAATTGAATTGAATCATAGCCTATACATGTACATGTATGTTCTACATGAATTCTTGGAACCTTGTGAGTAGGGGAACTGGTATGAATCTCAGACTATTATCAGTAAGACAAACCTTGCTTGCTCCTCTTTAGGGTTGTTCTCATAGGCTGTCGGACTGCGGTTGATATTAGAATCAAGGAGTATGCCCTCATTATGATAGATGTTGCCTGGAACCATGCTCTCGTGTGCACTCTCTATACTCTGAAACAGAAGGTAAAATAACATCAACAGAACTGTCAATACATTTAAAGAGAAGAAGGTTAAGTTCTGGGAATAGGTGAAAAATAATTGGTGAGTGTTATCATTGTATAATATGCAAGTGTGGAAGAACATCACAGTAAAAATGTTCCTTGAAAAGCATGGCTCTTCAAATGCCTTAATATTCTAAATATGGCATGTAACATCATAAAAGTCTGGACAAATTTTTATGTCACACGTTCGTGTAGTCCAATATACATCTTTTTGTGTACAGTGCATGCTAGATGATCAACCTTTTCGGATCGATTCCACAACGTTTCTTTCATGCAATCACATGACCAGAACTCAACTTTATCTTTAATAAAGAAAGACCTCACAAAACATTTTGACTAATGCAAGTTTAACTCTTTATAATTATGCCACATGCATAATCTCACAGAGCCACATAGTATTTATTGTGGGATAGATATACCGAAGATTTCAAGATTATTTAACTGTTTGAAGTGCAAGATTAATCTATATTGGTGTTAAACAGATTGTCATGGAGGTACCCAAGACTGGAATTGGTAATATTGCCACTGTGTTGCACAAAGCAGTCCTTCTCTATTTGTTCTCCAATGGGAAGGGATCTCACAGGAGATGTCACAGTGTTGTCAATTTTTGTTTGATTGACTGCAAATTTAAACATTCATATTTTCAATCAGAATTCGCTTAAAGATAGAAAAACTTTCACTGATCAGTTCCTCTCATTTTTCTGCTTCTATTATTAAAAACAATTAAAAATCAGTGTGGACTTCCACTTGAAGGGAAAAGCTTTTCTGCCATCTTATTAAAAGACGGTGAAGACACACGAACAAAGATACATGTATGCAATTGAAGTCCATTATCCATTATAAAAATATGCTACTTCTTAAAGAATATCATACCGGTACACAAAGTAAACTAATTTTGTTACGAGGAAGTATCGGTTTCACCACATTTATCAAATGTATGATTAGCGTACTCAATGTTGGAAGGTGTGCCATGCTCCTGAAGAAGGCATGCATGATTCCATTGATATTATAGGCCTCTCCCCAAGCCTTGTGGTCATCAGTCTCCACAACTTTAACTCCTAGTCATATCATTCTGCCGCTATGAAATGAAACAACGATTTTCCACAATCTTCCAATTTGCATTTTGGACAGGTCTTTCTTAAAGGGATCCGGTAACTTTGTCTCAGATTCTGAAACAAAATTCTGGATTTAGCTCATGCTGCAATGATAATTATAAACCTTTAGCTCAGTCAGGATCTCCATGAATTTTACTAGCTGATCGCCTATCTGATTATCAAGATATTTATGATTGGAAATCAAAACCAAATTTTGCGTTTACCAAACGGTTTTCATAACACTACAGTCTAATTGGGGAAAATGAGTATGGTAAAAGCGGTCACTCCAAGATTTTTTCTTTTTTCTAGGCACTTCTTGATCATTTTGAAGCACAATTTTTTTAGGGCTTCAATATTACACCATATCACAGACACTGGTAGCACGTAATGTAATATTAATAATAATAATAATAATAATAATGTCAATTTATATAGCGCGCATATCCATTCTAAAAGACTGCTCAAGGCGCTCTTGTACAACATCAAAATAATTATACAATATTAAAACTACAACATAATTATACACTATACAAACTACGACATAATTTTACAATATTAAAACTACGACATAAACAAATGGTACTTAAGTTTCTTCTTAAATGTTTCGACTGATGATGATTGTCTTATTTCTAGTGGTAAAGTGTTCCATAGTTTGGGTGCAACGTTAGCAAAAGCCCTGTCCCCCCATTTGTTATTGGTTTTGGGTGTACATAACTGGAGCTGTGAACCTGAACGTAAATTCCGTTGTGGGGTGTAAGGCCGTACATCTCATATTTAACATTGTTAAACGATGCCTTTAATGACAAGTTTTTTTTTTTTCAAATGTGAATGAAAGTTTAGATAACCTTAAGCCTCAACAAGATGGTATTGTACATATTTACCATCTCATCTAAACGATGTGGTTTTACCTCTTTGTGATAAAATTTGTATTTTCAAGAATTATGAAGTACGGTTCTGGACGTCTGTTCTATTCTGCGTTCTGTTTTTGCGCCACTCCATTTTGCCAAGTCATGGGAATACATTTAGCTGAATTAAAGTGTGCCAATCACCTGAAAACATAATTTGTGTACAGCTAGAATGTATTAAATCAACCTAATTTGGCATTCTGTGTGTTAAAAGGTAACTAGTATGAAGAAAATAAAGAGTAACAAAAATATTGTCTGCAGAACCTGAGCTAAACTCGGGTTCCGTGCCAGCCTATTCTACTGCATCAAGTGCTCTACTATATGTATGTACAGTAGTTTCTTTTTTGTCTAGTGTATTTGAAGTTTCACTTTCTATCTCTAATATAGATTTTTAAGTTCAAGATCTACTTAATTGTAGTATGGTGACCTAATATTTCCCTAGCATACAAAGCTGCAAAACATATCCTGCTGATTGGTACACTTTGAGTAGGGCGTTTCATTCATTGCAATGCGTCCCTTACACATGCTATGTATGTCCTTTTCCATATTTCCAATCATCAATATCTTGATAATCAGATAGGCAATCAGCTTGTAAAATTGCATTGCAGCATGAGCTAAATTTGGGATTTTGTTTCAGAATCTTAGAAAAAGTTACCAGATCCTTTTAACCATTATTTATTACTAACTACATGTATTAGGAATTTTGCGTTTCAGACCTGTCTTTTTGTGCCACTACATTTTGTAAACCCATTGCCTACGGGAACCGGGTGTCCCTGTGTAAAGCCAATGGGAATGAGAGAATTCAGTAGTCAACAGGTTAAGCTCCCTTATTCATCATTCACCTTGACAATGCCTGCAACCATGACTTCAAAGGTTTCTTTGATGAATCCTAGAGAGGTTACATCAAAGAGAACAAACTGCAGGAATCCAGCTGTTCCAGAATGACTGTGGGTTCCACTGATAGCCACGTTGGTTTCGTTGTAAAGGCCTCCATATGCGGTCTTCAATCTTGAGATCACCTTGATGAAGTAGTTTAGACCAAAAGGAAGAAATAGAGAAAATCATTGAGTATTTTAATTATTTGATGGTTATTTATGGCATTCTATCTAGCTACTGGTCCATTATTGTTGATTTGTAAACAAAACTTTAACAAAATAATAACAATGAATCATCATTAAAAAGAAAATTAAGAAAAAATCCATTGGTTTAAGAATAGCCACGTGTCCTGCTGATCAATAGCCACTTTGGTTTCATTATAAAGGACTCTCTATATTCTCTTTGACAGGGAAAACATACACGGTGGCTCGGGCGAATTAGCCCCCGAAATGTCCAAAAGAGCCCCCAAAACTTGCATAGAGTTCAATGCAAAACAAATTAAAGAGTGTTATTTTCATGCAAGCAAGCTTGAAAAGTATCCACTGAAATTTGTTAATTAATTTTTTCCCTGCTCTTTGATCTAGCGTAGTTCAACGAGATAGAAAAAAGAGAAATCATATACATGTATTTGAGGTTTTTAATAATGGTCCATGTTTGACGTTATAACCTCATTAGTGGCATTGCTGCAGATTTAAAACAACAACCAACAATAAATATATAATCATGGAGAACAAACTGCAGGAATTCAGCTGTGTGTTCCACATGCAGGTGGCCATGTTGGTATTTATTGTGAAGGCCTCCATACTTGACCAATCTTGAGATCATCTTTATGAAAATGATCTGATTCATTAAGGATCAAAGGGCAATGCTTTAATTAATATCTTTGAAGTTGTAAGTTCTTTAAAATTTACCCTTTACCATTTTATACACACATATGTGCAACTATATAAACAAATTAACAAACTAATAAAAAGGAATGTTCATATTTTGGGGTTTGGGGGTCTTAATTTCAGGTTTTGGGGCTGTAAAGGATTGCAGGGATTGCCCAGTGAAAATCTCAAAGCTTGTAAAAGGGCCTAAACTTAATAAATTAATACAAAGAACATGTAATTGGATTGTTACTATAAAGGCATACAACTTAACGTTGGTGAAGTACAGTTAATCTTGAGTATACTGACGCAACCGAAACAGAAACAGATAGAATGATTTATGGATTCCCAACCACTCATTTCAAGCATCAAGAATAAAGAATAGGAAATGAAAACAAAACCCCAAAAAGGATAATTCTCTCTTCCTGTTTATAATACAGGATATTTATAGGTATGTTCTACATGTACGCAGGGCATGTATGGTCGTTTAATTGCATGGTACTGTCCGCTCCAGCCTCCGTACTCTATATTCTCTCTCTCTCTCACTCTCTCTCTCTTTCTCTCTCTCCCTCTCTTTCTCTCTCTCTCTCTCTATCTTTCTCTCTCCCTCTCTCTCTCTCTCTTTCTCTCTCTTTCTCTCTCTCTCTCTCTCTGCCCAGCTTATTTTATACAAGCATAATTACCTCTAAAGTAACGCCTTGGTCCTGCATGCCAGCATCAATGCTCACAAAGACAAAGCGTTTCTCCCCCTTGCTGTCGGCAATCACAAACGCCCTGCTGAACTGGCGTATAGAAATCCCACCTGCAGTCTGCGATGGGTTAGCATAGCCCATCTTTAACAAAATGCAAATCAAGAACTTGAAAGAAGAAACACACATGAAAATTTCACAAAATACGAATATGAATTGAATTGAATCGATTGTCCATACAAATAGAAATTCGTTGTTCACTGGTACAGGTGTGTTACAAACAACGTACACACAATTATAAAACATAACACCAATTAATGGCGTTACATCCAACAATACGAGCGACGTTCCACATCCAGGGCCCATGCAGGCACCTCGCAATTCAAACGTAAATATATTATAGATCTACGTATAGCCATAGGGAACATGGAAATAGTCTGTATCAGAAAAGCATGAATGATGATGAGTACAATGTGATTGCTTGCCTAGGATTAGGAAATGGAGAAAAGCAATACAGTAATATATAGACCTACTTGCCCTCGTTTTACCCAATACTGTTGTAAATATGAGTCGAGTGACTCAAATCCGCCACAAATGAACGTCTGAAGCGGAATTTAATATTAATTTATTTACATAACACTTCACTGATCATGATCATCCCACTTTTCAGTCATGTTTTTGTCAGTTAATGCTGACCGACTTTGAGTTTGAAGTTACTCAAATAGACTAGATCTAGTCTATCATAAATCATTCACAATTCACAATTGATCTAATTTACCAAGTTTGCATCTGCAGCAGGACCAGTAATATCTGCAATTCCAGCCCCCAGTATGTAATTTGCGTCTTGGGAGAGAGAGCCACTGACAAAACAAACCATCACCAGAATAAAAAACAATGTAGACGACATGATTTTGTTGTAGTTTTTACAACTGGACTCGAGCAATAACAAAGGTAATGCAATATCAACGACCGTCGAGTAGTATACTGGGCCTGGTAGAACTAGAGGTCATGTGATAGTATGAGCGATCACGTGCTTCTGTTTACAATAAGTGCTCGTAGTCGTGCTACTACTAGTTTGCAGGCCCAAATCTTGTCAATTGTCTGCGCTGTGAGACTATGCTGATTTTACGTTGTACAACACACACATTATAAGCTTTATTCTTAAAATGCTCTAAAAAATCTAAAGACTGACAGGGGTAGACCTTTTTTAAGTCGCAGGAATTATGGTACTGTCACATTAGAGTTTGCGCATGCAGTCTATGCACGAACTTCAAAGGTGAAGCTAGCTATTCGAATTGGTGCGTGAAAAGATCAGGGGGGGGGGGGCACCAACATTAAAGGGCACACTCTGGAAGAAAAAAAAATGGGTACTGCCTCCGATCCGGGACTCGATCCCTCCAATTTAGATTACGCTCCGCTGCCCCTGATCCCTTGATCCTTATAATCCACCCGGTTGCATGACCACCTTTAATTATCTGTTTAATTGAAGAAGTTACTGTTGACTTATTGAGAACTTCGAAACATCGCAAACTGACATTTTCATCGGGGGGGGGGGGGGGGGGGGGTGAAGCCTCTTTTGCCGGTTACACAATTTGGCGAGCGAGCGAAACTTTGAGCATATATGTACTTATGTTATGATTGAGGCCTTAAACTTAAGATTCGAATAATAGTTATAACGTATGAAACAATCATGAGAGAGCACACAATATTATGAAATGAAAAGGAAAATACAGGATTTATTAAACCTTCACATAGTACAAGTAACTGCATGTTAATATTATGTAGGAACCTTAGATACTGATACAAACATCTATTTCAATTACCTTCCAGTTGTCTTTTAATGGAGTATATAAATAATGCAGTTTTGCTCGGCTGAATTAAGCTATCCGTGATGACATGTATAGCACACAGACGCGGTTCCGGGTTTTCTTGGGGGGCGGGGGGGGGGGGGCAAATTTGAAATTATGCGAGCCAAATATTGGTATTAAATGGTGATACCGGCAGTGGCAAAAACGTTGGTGGGGGGGGGGGGGGGTAGACAACAACAAAATCCCCATCACCCCACTCTTACATGCAGGCCCCGCTGAACATTTTTCGACGGGGGTCAAGGGATGGAGCCCCAGAAGCTCAGGGGCTTTATACATTAAATTACCGTCAGATGAGCATATTTTGATATCTTATTTGTGACACTGGCAGGTCACGAATTGATAGGGGTCCAAGGGGCGAAGCCCCCGGAAGCTCAGGGGTTTTGGGCAATAAATTACGGTCATATGAGCATTTTTTGATAGTTTGTGACACTGGCAGGACACAAATCGGTGTTGGGTCCAGGGGCGGAGCCCCCAGGAGGTCAGGGTTGTATACATTACATTATCGTCATATGAGCATATTTCATATCTTTTTTGCGACACTGGCAGGTCGCAAATTGGCATGGGTCCAGGAGGAGGAGCCCCCGGAAGCTCAGGGGTTTTGGGCAATAAATTAGGGTCAGATGTGCGTATTTTGATACCTTATTTGTGACACTGGGAGGTCATAAATTGGCGCAGGGTCCACCGGTCCAGCGGGCGGACCCCCGGAAGCTCAGGGGTTTTGGTAATAAATTATCGTCAGATGAGCTTTTGTGATACTGGCAGGTCACGAATTAGCGTGGGGTCGAGGGGCAGAGCCCGCGGAAGCTAAGGGGTTTGGGCAATAAATTAGGGTCAGATGTGCGTATTTTGATACATTATTTGTGACACTGGGAGGTCATGAATTGGCGCAGGGTCCACCGGTCCAGCGGGCGGAACCCCCGGAAGCTCAGGGGTTTTGGGTAATAAATTATCGTCAGATGAGCTTTTGTGATACTGGCAGGTCACGAATTAGCGTGGGGTCGAGGGGCAGAGCCCGCGGAAGCTAAGGGGTTTTGGGCAATAAATTAGGGTCAGATGAGCATCCAGGGCCCGCCTTAGGGCCATTGGTTGGGTTCGGGGGGGGGGGGGGGGGCAGAGCCCCGGAAGCCCAGAGCTTTAGGAATTTAATTACGTCAGATGAGCATTATTATACCTTATTTGTGACACTGGCAGGTCATTAATTGGCGTGGGGACCAGGGGGCGGAGCCCCTTGAAGCTCAGGCCCTTAGGCATTTTATAACGGTCAGACAGGCATGCAGAGGCCCGCCTTAGGGCCCCTGGTGGGGTCGAGGGGGTGGAGCCCCTGAAACTTACGGAATTTAGGAATTTAATTACGGTCAGATGAACATATTTTGATACTTATTTGTGACATCGGCAGTCACGAATTGATGTGGGGTCCAGGGGGCGAAACCCTCGGAAGCTCAGGGGTTCTCAGCTATAAATTCCGGTCAGATACCCCCAACCAACCCCCCCCCCCCCTCTTTGGTATTTTTTTTTTTTTTTTTTAAATACAAAAAATAAAAATAAAAAATAAAAAATTATACCAATGGCTGACCCAAAAAGGTGACCTTACTAAACACGTGATTTTTTTTTTTATTAGGGGGGGGGGGAGGTTTCAAGGACCAAAAAAAATATTTGTTCATACAACAACACCCCCCCCCCCACTACCCCCACCCCCCCCCCCCCCCCCCCCCCCCCCACCCCACCACCCCCCCCCCCCCCCCCCCCCCCCCCCCCTGAGCGACTTTTCGGCCGGCGCGATTTTCAAATTTTCGGGAGCAAAAGAAAAGAAAAAAAATAGTGCACACTACCCCCCAGCGTATAGGTCCAGCGTATAGCGGCCTAGTGAGATTCTGCTATATTTCCTTCTAGCCATATTTCTAAATTTCCAGGGGACTTGTCTCCCGATCGGGCCCAAGATCGCCGCCCCTATCCATGATTACTACCAACAGTGTTTTCAAATACAAGGACAAGCGAGTTGGCACGAGCTGATGCCAAATGAAGGGAGTTTTGAAGCGGTCCCTCTATCGTTAATTCAAAATTTGGCTGTAGAGTATATAGCTTCTGAAGGCATCCAAAATAATGTGCCCTTTTCAAATTTCTCACCAAAGAGTGGTGTCCTTTGTAGCGCAGGGGCTGTTTTTAACGTTTAACTTCAAATCTGCGGCTCGGGATTTTTTGCGATGGGCCCCCTATTTAATAACGTCGTCTCCCAAGCCTTCTGGAATGACCCCCAATCTCCCGATTACAATTCTGGTCCTCTTTGTAGGGGCCGGGCGTGGCTTTATCATAATCATGAGTGCTACATGAACCTGGGTAAATATTTTATACTGGATTACGACCGAGATTGCACTGATGATAGGATTATCATCCCTAATACCCTTGCAGCTCACTTCCGCCCCTCCTCCTTATTCCCTTATCCATCGTTACCATCACTGCCAGTTACATATGGCCGGCTCCCTCTGTAACTTTTCCCTTTCTAATCCGGCTTCTCTCTTCTTTTTGTCTTTTTTTTTTCTCTCTCTCTCTCTTTCTTTTCTCTTCTCCTTTCTTTTTTCTCTTCTTTCCTTCCTCTTTTTTTTTTTGCGCCGCCAATAGGGGGCTGCGGCCGTTTCGGCCCCCCTTGATCCGCCACTGAATTTAGAACTTAATTCTGTCAAAACGAAAGAGCTTCAATTAAAATGTCTTTTTGTGGGAAAATAACGACGATTAGTTGTCAAATCGACATATTTCAAATTCAATCACTTAAGTAAATAGTCTGATTTTCAGATCCTGGCACCGAATGGTCGTATTTTTTTGTGCTGCGCAAAAACACAATCAGTTAAATTTCGGCCATTACAAGTAGTGGGCTATTGATGTAGACAAATGCTGCAATTACCTGTTAGTACAGTTCATTTATGTATGTTATTATCAAAGAAAAAAAAGTCAGTCAGTCAATACCAAAGGATATTATAGTGACATATAACAAGAGATTTGAATCCCATACCCATTGGTTCTTTCCCTTTCCTTTGGGAACTTTTGTCTTCTGGTGAAATATCCGCTAGACAACGACAATCAAAAATAACAAATCATTTTCCTCGAGTTTTCTATGCTCTCCGTTTTTAAGAAACATCTATTTCTTTCCTTGACCGGAAGTGGATTAGGCCTAAAACCTTGCTTTTTTTAAATGGTTCTTGCCCCTTCCCTTTTATCCATCTCTTTTGTCCGTCCTCTTTCTTTCTGTCTGTCTCTGTCTCTCTCTCTCTCTCTCCTTATTCCTCTCTTTCTTGCTTGGCTAAGAGCTAGAACTTGTCTCATTAAATTGTAATACAATGATAATTTCAGAAAGTAAGGATCATTACATATTCATTATTTTATTTTTCTTACAAGACTGTTGATAAGGTATTGATAAAAAAAAATATAAAAAAATAAAAACTCTGTGAAAAGCATTATATAACAGATCATTATCTTTTTAGGCAATCTTATCAATAGTAGTAACAATAGTATTAGTATTAGTAGTAGTAGAAGAAGAAGAACAAGAAGAACAAGAAGAACAAGAAGAAGAACAAGAAGAAGAACAAGAAGAACATATTCAAATGGCATGAAATGTTCACAACTAATTTGCATGTAACGATTTCTGTAACGTGGGGTTCAGTTTTCAGTGATATTTCTAGTAGTAATCATTTTGGTTCAGCTCTAAATACATTATCTTGGTACACTATTTTGGTTAACTGAAAATATTGCAATAATCATCTATCTTAGGCACTATTTTACACTTTCATTCATGAATTTCATAACAAAATAATGGTTAAAATCATTTTAAATTGATTAAAGCCACATTGTAGTCAGCGTTCATGTGTACGACATCATAATTTACTGACGTCAGATTTGGTTGAATTACAATGTGCCCGTGTGTGTAAAGGTCTCTCAAGCAGAGAACCCAAGGTCCCAACAAAAAACTCAGCTCCAACTTGCCTACATCTCAAGGGCGAGGGAAATCTGAACATTAAAGCCTTGAAGCCTTATTTTTTCCCATGATAAATACAATGTGTCACAGGGAGATTATTTGTGTGGCATATGAAGACTTAACTACAACGTGAATCCAAGGCACTCTTCTTACAGATTTGCAATCTGTTCACAATACTGGTCACAAGAGCATTATATATCAAGTCTCTGGTATTTTGTATAATGCGCCATAGAAATATAATTTATTACTTTTATTATTACTCTCACATCATTGTTTATTGCACTGGATGGATTCCAAAAGAAAAACAGGGTCCAAATTTCAGATGACATAATCTGTTCAGCCTGATTTCATTGCTGGTTTCACAAAATGACACAAAAAAAGCTTTATACGCTTAATAGTATAACGACCTTGAACACGATCGCAACTACTTGAACAAGTTTCCTAAAAAATATTATCTATAACAAGTTCCAATAACTGATATAAGCTATTGAAATCGTGGCATTTGATTTGCTGAAGGCAAATTTGTCATAGAATTTTTTCATTTGCTATTGATAATAAACAAGTTTTCTGAAACAAGGCCCAGAAAAATGCCAAATATACCAACAACAAAAAATAACATTAAAACATCAACAATAGTATTTACAAAAAAAGACCCAATAAAGACAACAACAACAATTAAAACAACAAAGGCTTACAAAGCGTATACGATTCCCATTAATTCCCAAATGCCATGCCAAAAAAATGATAGGAATTAATACACAAAGACATACCTGTAGGCTTACATTTGTAAGCGGCTACTTTACAAAGTCAACAAAGAAAGGGTGAACATAGTTGACAAGATACAGATATAAAATGTATACAAAGTGAACACAAGCTAAGGAATATATAAGACACACATACAAACACTCATATCTGAGTCACACCTGTAAACTAGACTATATCTAGCTGCCAGTATTCCTCTACATAAATCAAGTACTGCTTTGTTCATGAAAGTACATATACGGTACATGTATTCGTTCGTTTGTTCGTGTCTCCTTCGATCAAGATTAATAGATTAATAGATTAATAGATTGATCGTCTGGTTGGGATAGGGGTCACTCCCATGGCCCCCATACACCATGGTGCAAGGCAGGGTCAGCTTTAACGGTCTGGTTTGGAAACCTGACCGGTACAGATGTCTTGTAGTAGGCCTCCAGGCGACCAACAAGTTCAGTAACGACCTGTAAGAAAGAAATACAAAATAGCACAATGGAGAAGAAAGGTACAGGCTCAAGGAAGTCATCAAGACAGTCTTCAAAATGATGATGACTATGATAATGACGATGGGGATGACAATGGTGATGATGACAATGGTAATGATGGTGATATTGGTGGTGATGATGACGGTGACGACGATGATGATGATGATGATGATGATGATGATAATGACGGTGACGATGATGATGATGATGATGATGATGATGATGGTGATATGCTAATGAGAATGTTGATAATGGTGACAATACTAGCTAATGATGATAATTGTGATGATAATGATAATAATGATAAAGTTGATTGTGGTGATGACGATGATGATAGTGGTGATGACAATAATAGTGATGACGAAGAAGATGATGATGATGATGATAATGAAGGTGATGAAAAGGTGATGACATTACAATTATTATAATTGAAGAAAGTTGATGATCACTATCATTAACATTCACAGCCTGACCACATCATCATCATCATCATTTCATAGCCTACCTCATTACAAACTTAACCCGTGAAAGTGCTAAACATTTAGGGTTAGGGTGAGGGTTGCAATGAAGTGTGATTTTTTTGTATGGGATTATGATTATGATGTCAAACATAATGGTCAGAGTGAAGATTGCAATAAATCTTTGTTTTGGGGTCTAAGGTTAGGGTGTCCCTGAAAAGGGAAATCTAAGTTCATGGGTAAATTACTAAATAATCCTACATTACTTGTTGATAAATCTGCACCCCAATGGGTACCTAGTTTTCCCTTGTTTCACATGTCACCAAAAAATGATAAAAATCATTTCCAGATCATTTCCTGCCATTTCACTCTATAATGAAACAAGGCATCAGTTATCTACTTAATTTGGACAATTCTATTTCTATCAGTATCAGTCCAAACGACCTGTAATCATACATGTGTGATTTAATGATCATATTTCTGATAACAAATGAATCAAAGCAAAATGCCCTTTCATGTATGTACTAACAAAAATAAAATTGAGATTATATTGAGTGATTTATCAATAAAATTTGGTTCCCTTTTTTCAAGGACAGTCGTCTGCATCTTACTGTCCAAGATAAAGAAAATGTTACTGAGTAATGACATCAAGCTATTAAACACAGCTTCAGATTCATAAGAATTTGTGACACACCTCAGGATGTTGATATGAGAGGTCGTTCTTCTCGCAAGGGTCTGCTGTGATGTTGAAGAGCCATGTTACTTTGTTAGCAGCTTCCACAGGATCGATGGGGTGAATGTTCCACTCCGGTGGTGGGTACCAGCCGCTCCTCCCTTCAAAACAAGAGCAGAATTAATCAGAAATTGTAATTAGTTGCAAAACCAACCTATAAGTGGGGGTATAGTGAGAATGATGACACCATGCATCTACCTATGTGGAGAGAAGCAGACTATGCAACATCTCCGAGCCTGCCCACATCTACCAGACCCTTGCACCCTAAAAGATCTGGAAGCATTGACCTCCTGCGCGATACAACGCATCCAACATTGGATTGAGACAATGTAATTAAAGTAGGACCCCCGCCAGGGGAGTTCTACAGTACCCCCGTGTATGTAACCCTAGCCCTGACCCTAAACATAACTTCAAATAAATTTAATATCCTAACCCTAACCTACAATGTTTAACAAAATAAAGTCCTGAGCAATTGTTTTGCCAGAGAAAAGTTTGAATCCCCCAAACCAGCCCGCTTACCATTATTTCTAGGATTACCTGGAAATCCTGTGAGGAGCTTCCATTCTCCTACTCTGATGGCCGCTCTCATATCCGTGGAGAACTCTGCTGCCATCTTGGGGTAGAGACCGGACAGCGGGTAGATCATGTCGGTTTCTTCGTCGTAGCCGTAGCCGAAAGGATGGTCGGCACGGATGTAGGGGTCAATGTTGTGGAGGAGTTCTTTCCTAGGGGAGGGTGTTCCCTTTCTAGAAAATAAATGGGACTATGGATTAATCAACTGTGACTTTTGGGGTCAATTTAAGTTGCACCTAGTTGATTCAAATCTGTACATAGAGAATACTGAAGTTCAATTTAATTACAAAAGAAAGAAGAAATGTGGAAATACATGTACAACCCTATTCTGAGTGGAGGGGGTCACATTGACCTTACCCCCCCCCCCCCCCTTACCCATCCCGTCAAAACTTGCTCTCAGAAAGCCCAGTCAAAATAGGTTTAAAGGAAAGGTGTTCTGTGCAGGTTCCTTTGGTTTCAATGAGAAACACCTATAATAACCCTAAAAGGGACGGTGGCAGAATCCACTGCTCCTAAATCCCTGGACCCATGCCACATTATGTTTGACCGTCATGACCTCATAGTCTGGAGCCTTAAAAGGACTTGGTAACATTGTTCAGATGAGAGATAATGGTGCTAAGGTAGTGACTTCAATGCTAGATGTACAATCAAAGATAACCTGAAAGTTTGAGTGAAAACGGACCATTATTAATGATATAAATTGGGAAAAACTGATCTTATAGATTCCTCAATTCTTCCAACTATATTATTACAATTTAATTACATTTTAGGTGAATGTAAATCGTCACAAAGCAATGAATTGGCTCTACATGTATATACCATTCCAGACATTTAAGTGTTGAAAGATATTCAAAAGCCTGTTTTTATGCCTTTTTTCATGAAAAAAACGTCGGGAAAATTCAAAAATGGTTGGGAGAATTTACTGTTAATCACTGCTCCTCAGTGTTGTACATGCAGTGACACCTTCAAAGAAAACCATAGCTGTGAAAAAAATACATGGGGGCTTGGGGCAAATTAGCCCCCAAAATGCCCAAAAGAGCCCCCGAAAGTCTTAACCCTTACTGTACTGGGGGGGGCCTGGGAGGCCCCCCCTCGACATTTTCGGAGATTGCGCCGCAACCGCTTAAAATTTTGAATTGTCGTTTCATGACTTTTTTCCCTCAAGTCTTACGCACGTTTTGATACCATTTTCGTCGCAATCGGATATACCTGTGAGGTGTTACATAACAATTAGTATGCGCATGTCATCAAAAATTTGCTATAATTGCATATATTCATGTACAAGCAGAATTGTGAATACAGGTTTAGATGTATTCCTTCCTAAGTGGGTGATATGAATTGATATCGAATTGCTTTTATATGTTTCTCAAAGTAACTTGATGTATTCCAGAACAAAAGAATACATAAGAAATAAAAACAATAGATATAATAAGAAATTAAAAAACAATAAAATACATAAGAAAATAATATTTGAAAATCGCATCAAATTTGCATAAATTATCATTATTAATTACATCCAAATAAATATTTTGTGTTAGAAAAGAAGTTTCATATGAATAATGAGTTTCAACTTTCAAAAAGTGAAGTTTGACACGTTTTCTGTAAAATGCATAAAATTAGCATTTTGCATAATTAATTAGGCTATAACGACAAAAATTTGCATATTCGCAAAAAACTAATTACACCATCTTGTTCGTTACGTAAATATCTACAAACATGCAAATTTTCGTGTTCATCGGACATCCGACGGCCGAGATCATAGGGGGGGGCCTCCCAGGCCCCCCCCAGTCAGGAGGTGCTCAAAATAGCCCAGTACAGTAAGGGTTAAAAGAGCCCCCAAATTTTGCATAGAGTTCAATGCAAAACAAATTAAAAAGTGTTATTTTCATGCAAGCAAACTTGAAAAGTAGCCCCCGAAATTTTTAAAGTAATTTTTTCCCTGAACCATAGATATCTTTGTGATTTGAGAATTTTTTTAGGATTTTTTGCATGTTAGAGGGTTAGTACAGTAGAAGGAATATAATAAGTATTATTACCCGTATCAGACATCTGAGCAGTGGTTTTACAAAATCATATTAAACTTGTTGTAATCCTTAAAGAGCTAAGCAGTAAATATAAGACCATATTAACCTCTCATGAAAAAGCCTATCGACTTCACATGTTAAAAAAGCAGTAAATATAAGACCATACACTGTAGTCACCGCGCCATATTTTGTCATTTTCATTGCGCATCTATCATGCGTACGAGAACCTGTGCACTTTGCGCGCACTCTATTGTGACAAAGTTGGATCAGTTCTTTGAGATTGTCATGGTTGATTTATGTATTTGCTCTAGATGTCTGATTTGGATAACAATAACGATATTGACTGGCTTAACTAGTTTTGGGAGATACCACATATATTGCCCTCACAAGACCCATATTGCCCTCGTCTTTGACTCGGGGCAATATGAGTCTAGTTTGGGCAATATAAATAAATAAATAAAAATATATGTGATATCTCCCTCAAGGCCACTCCAGATTATATAAACATTTCGTACAAAAATTATGCAATTTTTTCATAAACTTTCAACAATGTTACTGAGTCACTTTAAGGCTTCTTCAGATATGGGGCGGTAAACATGCAGCCGCAAAAAGCCGCTGCGTTTTTATTAAACGTGTAAATGAATGGCAATTGCATGCAACACAATTAAATTTCTGCTTTTCTCCTTAGCGCCTTCCTACTTAGGAACATCACAAAATATACTGTAGATCCTCCTGAGACATACATTTTGAAATTTTAATCATTTTGTGTGCACAGACCCGAGGCTCAAGATAGAGCCCAAGTAATCGCAGGAATTCAACTTACGTGATAGAGTTCCACATGTTATAGCTGTCCAGAGCAAGGCCGGCGGTGTTCCCCCTGCCACACCTTCAATCAGGGTTGGGAACCAGTCACTGATGTGCATGAAATGTTTGCTCACTGTGCCTTGCACCCCTGCAGGGATCATTGGTCCTGTAATGAACCCCACACCATGGACCCCGCCCTCCCAAAGGGTGTTCTTGGTTCCCCTTAGTGGCCAGTTGTTGCCAGATTTACCAGGAGTTCCACCATTATCTGAAAACCAAAGAAACAACAATTATCATAATATTGCTCTCTTACTTTTTGTTTTTGATGTCATGTATAGAGGTGTCATGGTCTACTGGATATGACACCGCACTGCGGATTGTATACTTCATGATTAGAGTAATGTTGTGGCGCTAAAGGCACATATTTACATTTGCCACTCTCCACCCAGGTAAAGTAAATGGGTACCTGGTAGGAGTTTATTCCTTGAATGCTTTGAGTGCCCGTGAGTGCCCGAGGGCAGCTAAAGGGATGGTAATAATGGTACTGTGTAGGCACCCTGCGCAACGTATATGTAGCTATTATTTTTATAGCATCCATGTAGTACAGCTCCTGAGGTCAGATGTTACCTCGGATGACAATGTGCTCATTTGCATAAGGCCTGTGGGTATTGTATTTCCACACATGATGCACCATAGCCCAATCACTTGCGCAGATTATCTTTGTGATGGATAGACCATACGGTCATCACCTTTATCATTCTATTGACCATGTCCTCATCTCATTTCATCCCAGTCTTTATCGATCTCTGTTTTTGTGAATATAGTAACGATGTTTAGTAAAGGATTGTCATGCCTTTAATCTCAATGAACTTACATGCATCTGACAATCCTTCTCTATCACTCTTTTTACGTTATTACTGGAATATTAATTAGTTTATTCTGATATATGCATGTCAATCATATCATTTGTATATCATTATGTTTTTATTATTGCGGAAAGTAAACATGGTAACAGACTATAGCGAGAAATAGGTAAATAAAAAATGAATACAAAAATCAACCACTCCTGACGACGGATAGTCAACCTGTTCGAAACGTCTAGCCACTCCCGCCACTCATCCTCTCCAAGCGCTATAGTTCTCCTTAGAACTATAAGCTAAGACAGATAACCAACAGTCTTTTTTAAGACTACACAAACAGTCCTTTTCAGGACTACACACCCTCAAGAAAGATTACCGAGAGTCCTTTTCAGGACTCCTCAATCCTCTCTCTCTTTCTCTCACATGGTGCACCCGCAAGCCCACTGTATAATACATTACCTGTTGTAAACACAAGAACTGTATCATTCCATAGCCCGGCTTCTTGTAAAGAGTCTACAACCTTGCCAACTGCTTCATCCATAGTGGCCACCATTCCTGCGTAGGTCTGCCTGCCTACGTCCTGGAAGTGAGCGTAAGGCTTCATGTACTTCTCTGGGACCTGGAGGGGTCCATGGACCGACTGAAGCGGCAGGTACAGGAAAAGTGGCTGCAGAGGAACGATACACCACCAAAGCAAATCAATTTATTTTTCTTCCAACAAACTCACTTTCAAATGAGTGGTAGAGATTTGCAGTAAATCTGTTAGCCCAAAGATTTCTAATTACTAAACATACCATGACTTATTCATAGTTTTTATTCTTGATCATTAACAAAACAGTTATATTTGTAAAGAATTACTTTCGGCTTGCATCCAGTAAATAAAGATCACGTGCTTGATCTCCTAATTACAAACAAGTCAGAAAAAGTCTTGGAACCATCGGTACAATAACAAGATCGTGCACACAATCTTTATTTTCTGGGTGCAAGCCGAAATTTACAAATTGAAATTACTCCTAGAAGGCCCAATGAGTCCATTATACAATCTCTCTGCATTTGTAAACACAAGAACACAAGTCAAGGGGTGCGTTTATTGGGTCTTGCCACTAGATATGTACATATTGTACCCCACTATCATACCCCACTATCGAACCCCACTATACGATCGTAATTTGCGGGATGTCGCGTTTATCGTCTCTTCACGATTCACAATAAAGGCCTTGTCTCTGCGCCGCTTGACCACGGAAGCAGACAGTTTCTCCGAGGTCAACTTCACACACATGCTTGTACAACAACATGACACAACACATGGTGCGCTACCTGGGAGGTCAGATTTGTATGTGGGGTTCAAAGCAGCTTTGCGTTTATCATCTCTCAGAAACGTGATTCTGGCTGTATGTCACATTCAAAAACACACATTTTTGCGTCATTAGATATGCCCATATCTAAAGACCTTTAAAAAAGGCTTTGCGTTTATAACCTTCTAAATTTGCCTGAAAGACGTTTGAGAAACCTGATTCTAGGCAAAAATTTGGTCAATAAACGCACCCAAGGTTGTGTGAATCTGTGATACAGCTTCATATAATAGATGAACACAGCCTCAACAAGATTGGTTAGATTATTAACACATTGACTACTGAATTCCCATGTTCCCTATAGGTTTAATACAGGAGCCCCTCGGTTCCAGGAAGCAATGGTTAAAATGAATTAATGAAGATATGAACCGTCCAGTAAAACTCATAGATCCTTGTTACATGTACTTGATTTATAATAGGAGTCATTTTAATATTGGACAAACTTATAGATGGCAAATAAAACCTAAGTTGATACTTCATATGGTGCCCACACAGGTAGAAGTGCGCTTGTCTTTCTCGCATTGCGTACTTGCAAATTGTTGGATAGTGTCGAGGGTCTTGCATGTGATAATAGTCTCTCAACAAATAAATCACAGTCACATGACTGCGCTTGACCAATCATTCGATTAGGATCTAGGAGTGAGTCTTATGAAGGGAATATATTAAACCGGACCTGATTGGGATTGTGCTGCTGTATAACCCTCTGAGCTCGTTCAGTGAACACAAACTGAGAGTAGTTTCCGGTGTATTCCCACGCCACTCGATTGTTGTCCCAAAAGTCAATGCCAAGCCAATGGTTCCCCTCAGGAAAACCTGGGAATGATCCCGACCGGAAGTGAGTCCAGTAGTCTTGCATACCAGACAAATAACCTGTACATTGAAAATCCACAAATAACAAAAGGAATATTATATTTGAGATATGCCATCTCTTGACAAGATTTATTGAGTTTTGTCATTCCAGATCACGTTCCATAAATCGTCTTAGTAGTAATGTACATGCGAGTGTTAAAATGGAATTGAGAGTTTGCTCGCAGCCAATCATACAAAAGCTAAGATATGATTATTTAACTTGTTACTGACAAGAATCTTAAAGGTAAAGACCAGTATTGGAAACGCCCCAAGTTCAAAAAATGAAATGGAAGCTCTTACTACCAATCATTTGAAAGAATATGTTTTGACTAATACATGATGATAAAAATTTTGCCGGGAAATTGATATATTTGGTAAATTAGTTTATCTACATGGTCCGTGAGAGATAAACGCACGTGTGCATATAGTCCAGTATACATCTTTCTGTGTACAGTGCTTGTAACTTTACGAAGACTGGGCCAAATTTCTTATCAATTTGATGATTCCAGAACCTTGCAGTACACACCAATACTTATATGCTAGATGATCAACCTTTTCTGATCGATTCCACAAAGTTTCTTTCACAATGCAATCGCATGACCATAACTGGTCTTTACCTTTAAGCCTAGCCCTACACCTAACACAAAACACATTGGTATCAAAGCAGATGCTAAAACACCCCCCCCCCCCCCCCTCCTCCAAATCTTCCTGATATTCCTATAATCAGTCTTACCAAATGAGGAATCGAAGCCTCGTTGGAGGGGCATGCATTCGTTCTTGTAGAAACCGAGGTGCCACTTTCCTACCAGGTGTGTGGCGTAGCCACTTTCCTTGAGTTTCTGGGGCAGGGTAGTCTCATTAAGGGGTAGGCAGTTGGGCTGAGGGGCGATGATGACAAAGTGTTGGAGGCCTGTATGGATCTGATTAGATTTGAAAGATTAATGACTTTAGTGTTAATCGTTATTGGATTAACTTCAAGGGAAAGTACACCCTGATACTAATTTTGTTTTAATACAAGGAGAAAATGAGAAGAACAGATCAATGAAGTTTTGAGGAAAATTAGACAATACATAAGAAGGGGGGGGGGGGGTATAGTGAGCATTATTATTATGATGTGGTAAACTGCTGCATAATATGCTTCAAGTTTCTGTGTCCGCTAAAACTGAGCTCAGCTATGAATATGCATAGGGACTTTGTTGTGCCTAGTATTAAACGCTATACAAATGTAACTGTTAATCAATATTATTATTGTATGATAACCATGTACATTGTATGAGTGGTTTGTCATCATACCTGGTATCTGCCTGTCATTAACTGGCTCCTGCTTGGCGAGCAGATGGGCTGAACATAGTAGTTTTCCAGTTTGACCCCACGGCTAGCCAGCAGGTCAAGATTGGGCGTCTTGATCGTGGAATTGTGATAGCCGACATCGAACCATCCATAGTCATCAGCCACTATGAAAACAATGTGCGGGGGCTTGCCTGTGGCGCCCTTGATCAACCCAGTGCATATCAGGACTGTAACAGTAAGAGCCTCCACGAGGAAAGCGCAGGAGCAACGTTTAACCTTCAACATTTTCAATTCCTGAAAAGAGCCAAGGAAATGAAATAATATTAGGACAAAAATAATAATACAATTATGGATACAATTATCAAATAGCTGAAGAGGCAACTTAATTGGCTCAGTGGTAAAGTGTAAATGGTTGATGCACTAAATGTCTAGGAAAGTGATTCAATTCAGGCATGTACTGGAGCTGTTACTGGAAGGCACGATCTCTCCTTCTCAGTTTACAAATCATGAAAACATCAAAGTCAATGTCAATGACAATGACGAACATAAAATGAGCTTAATGAAGCACTTTATCTTACTCCTTACTGGGCATCTTTGACTATGGCATATACAAACAATACAACTGGTGGTCTCCTATTTCACGATAATGTCCTGATTTATGGACAATCGTCATTGCCTTTTGTACTTCAAATGTCATGTTTTTCCTTCTTTCTTACGATCAAGATAATCTACTCCCCTGAAAACAAGATATAGTTTGCAGACTGATAATCTACTTTACATTTTTTAAAGTCAGACCATGAACATGCACAATTAATACATGAATCCAAAGAAAATGAAAGAATTTAGAAGTTTCATGGTCAGAAGGCATGGAGAGTTTGCCGTAAATAATTTCTGGTGACACGTTCTTATTCCTTTCCTGGTTTTGTTCAAATTTTCTCTGATTTTATTCAAACCTTTTAAACTGTACAATAAAATTAACTTAGGTCTATGATGGTTTTAGTTGCCTTTAAGTCCACATCCTAGAGCGGTATGGAACTCGTCCAGGATACCATTGCAGATCTTTGATAACTTTAACCGTAGTAATTAGAAGAAGAAAGTCTAGACAAGGAAGTGTCAAATACATTCTGACTTTCTCCTTCCGCTTTTTGCTTAGTCCATTGCCTGGACTGTTTCTGTGTCGCGCGCCCAATCAGCTGAGAAAATAACACACCCTCAACGTTAAACCAGAGACAGTCCTTGCCTTCATTCTCACCCTTGCCTTTTGGGGGTCGCGCGATCTATGTTAGGTACATGGTGTAAGGGAGGAGGACATATAGATAATTGTAGAATAAAAAATATATAAAAACCGAAAGAATCAGGGGGGTGTTTCACAAAGACCCTAAGTAGAACTTAAGTCTAAGTTGGACTTAAAAATTATGGACAGCCATTGGAGTCTTAAAATGAAATATATTCAAAAGCAGAAATTCAAGTATTTTAGACTTTTTATAAATTCCGCATCCAGAACATGAAATCTCCTTGATGATAGCAAATATGAATGATTTGAATAAACAATTAATGCCTTTCAAAATAACTTATACAAAATATTTTCAAAGATGCTAATGGCTTTCCATAATTGTTAAGTCCAACTTAGAGATAAGTTCAACTTTGGATCTTTGTGAAACACCCCCCTGGACTACTTTATGCTGTATACCCAGACGTTTGGTGTTTGGTTAAATGTATCCGGACAGTGGATTTAAAACAGTAATTTGAAGAAGATTACATTTCATGAATAATTCAACCTTAAAGGAAACTCCAACGGCCACCCTGATAATAAATTGGTTTTAATAGAGGCAGAAAAATGAGAGGAACAGGTCGGTGAAATTTTGAGCAATTTCCGACACAGTTGCCGAGTTGTATTTGGTTAATCGCAACTTCAAAAATTCATAATTTTCTTCTTTTTCATTGGATTTTGCTCAAACTTTCACTGACCCGTTCTTCTTCTTCATTTTCCTCATTTAGTGCTACTTCATGCAACAAAGATTATGCACTGCAGTGTGGTATGTGCCATGTCCAAAATGTGTGTAGGCAATTAGGCATCAATCCAGATGCAAAATGTATACATATACAGCTATGTGCTGCCATCAGTTGGACGCTTCCTTCGATGCCCTTTTCTACTTCTCCTTCTATGGTAATACTCATCAACGCCTGTTCAGCATCTAGATGAGGGTAAAGCATGGAGGTGTTATAATTATGTAGCTCTATGCGGTACAGTTCCTGAAAAGGGAACTAAATTGTTTCAAGAGCCACCTTGGCCTTGAACTGCTCCATAGAAGGCAGTTCGACGATAATCTGAGGTAGCTCGTCCCAGTCCTGGGGAAATAACTGAATTTGTAAGTGTCCATTGAAGAGCCTAGTCTCATATATCGTTGTTGTTGACTCCTCCTTGTATTTCGCTCCCTCGGTTTGATGTTATCCGGTATTTGTTATTTGCTATCTTGTAGAACATTGACAAACGTGCCCGTTTTCTTCTTTCTTCAAGAGTTGGGAGATTAAGTTGTTCTCGCATGGATGTTACACTGGCATCACGCTGGTAGTTTCCACCAGAAAAAAGGCATCCAGAGTAAGGAAGTCTGCAGGGTCCCTCTTGAAGTTGTTCCACTCTCTACTAGTACGAGGGAAGAAGGATGAAATATCGGAGAGGAAAGTCTGGTCTATTATATAAAATCAATTTCAATTAAATAGCAGGTTTAAACTAGACTTATATGTTAGACAATATTATATATATATATATAAAGGATAAGAATTCATGATGGTTAGTGCTATTTGATGCATACATTTCGTTAAATCCAAAGGCAAAAGTTGTGGCTTTACAGTGTTGTAGCATACAAAAACACAATCCCAAGCACGTAGAGCTTTACGCATTGAGCTCGATCTGTACAGTGAGTTTACACGCTCTGATTGGTCGATCCGATCCAGCGGTTCCGAACTTAAGTGAGAGAGGGCTCGCTTAAGTAGAGAGCCGATGACAATGCCAATACGTAATATATTACCTAACGTGTCACACTGACATTAGGGAGGCTATATTACTATGTCCATCCACCAACAGAGAATTCAATATATGGGGCAAGCAAGAGAGTCGTCTTATCATATCACTCTTCACCACCATTTCACCACCTTCTATGCAATCTCAAACGTCAATAAACCTCAAATCAAATTATAGGGACACTTATCATACTCACATGCATACACCTAGAAACTTTGCTTTTCACAGTTACCCAAGTGAAATCTACGTCTAGATCTGATCTAGTCTTCGTACTTTCGTAGTCGTACTCCGTCGTAGACTCTTCATGTATCTCTGACAGAACAAAACAAAAGAAAGCACATGACTAAGATGCCACGCCCACTAGTCAGTGACGGTGTATCCAGGGAGCTGGAGGGGACATGGGAAGGGGGGGGGGGGGGGGTGGGGCACGGGGGGGGGGGGGGGCACGTGCCCCCTAAAATGTCCAGGATCGGTTGAAATTATGTAGACCCCTTTTTTGACCTCGATCGATTACATGTATGTGCCCCCCCCCCCCCCCCAATATCAAACTATGGCTACGTGCCTGGACAAGGGTCAGTGGGGGATCGGGGGTGGGGGGGGGGGGGGGGGGGGCTCCCCTGCCACTACTAGTAGAGTCATAATACGTGTTAATTAACAATTACCAGGAAATTCGTTTCAAAGGCATAGCCTAATTGGAGAGGCATGATTTATAAGAAATTACAACTGAGATTTCATTTAGGCCTACTATAAAATAACTCGCGCAATCAGGTTTATTTCTTGCTATCAAGTCAATCAGAAACTTTATCATCACATTTAGCATATAATTAGCCTATTTAAAAAAAAAAAATGTTATTATTATTAATATTATTATCATCATCAGTATTATTATCATTATTATTATCAATATTACTATAGTTATTATCATTATTATTATTAAAACACTTATCATTGGGCTTTCTTCCTTGCCAAAAATCCATGAGGAATAATTCAAGGATAAAAGAAAATTTGTAGGGATATATGATAATGAATTCCACATCTTTGGACTGACTGGAATAGCAAATATTCTTGAAAAAAATAATGTCCTATGTTTTATTGTTATTAGTATAATCTAAAGAAGCCGAACGAGAACGGAACCCGTCGCCTACAAGTGACTAAAGCATTCAAACGGGCAACAGACCGCGTTGTTCAAACAACCAAATCTGACTACATTGTATATTAAACAATTAAGGAGCTTAGATCCCGTCCATGGTAAACATCGATCGAGCGAAAACTATACCAACGATCAAAGTACAACAGACAGTACTCGCATATAGAACGGGGGGTATAACCAACACACGTTTATATCACTGGTGTCTTTTTATAACTGAGCTTGCTGAAGTAAAATCAGACATACTGCGTGAGTATAAGCTACCACTTATCTTTCTTTTCTTTTCAACCATCAATTATTTTATGTCCTTGTAGCATGTATATTAATTGTTTTAAGTTAACTACATGTAGTATATATCATTTTGTATAATAAACTAATTGTAACCGAGCGCTGTGATACATTCACTGTAGAGCGCAGGACGTGTACACGATAAGTCCCAATATTTATACTTCATAGTATTGTATTTTTTGTAAAGTCATTGTATTTGTTATAAAAACCATAGCGGGTTTTTTGGTGTGGTTTTGTGTATGTGAGTAATTACCCGCCAAAAATATTAAGTATGCATGCAGAATAGGTAGGCCTAGTCATGTACGTGAGGCGATTAAGGCTGCCGGAATATTGCATAATTTCAATTTGTTCGGGGGGGGGGGGGGGACTGCAGTCCCGGCTTGTAAAACATAATAGTCGTATAATAGGCATATAGCATAAACTTGGAATGAAAAAGAAGAAGAGGAGGAGGAGAAAGAAGGAGAAGAATAAAAAAGAGAAAAGATTAAGGGAAAAAAGAAGAGGAAGAAGAAGAAGAGGAGGAGAAGAAAGAGGAAGAATAAAAAGGAGATAAAGGAAGAAGAAAACGAAGAGGGGAGGGGATAGAAGCATAAACGTGAACTATCATTAATTCTTATCTGATAATTTCTTTGCTTGAACTTAATGTACTGTATATAATTACTTTACTTCTTTAATTTCAATTAATTCTGTTTCGTGGGGACAAAATGCAGCGTCATATTAGCGACTGTGTGCAATGGACAATTAAAATACCTTTATCTAGTGTATAATTGCAGTCTCGGTCCGCTCTCATTTTTAAAATCAGATATTAGTAGCAGTTGTTTGTAACTCTGCTAATAGTATTTGGACTATATTATATTAATAAATAACGTTGAGCGTTCTTACATCATTTGCCAGGAGGCTGGTTATTATAAAGAACTGATGATGATAAAGTTGTTGACTATATCGGATGAATATAAATTAATGTCACGTTAAGTGATACCATTTTTTTTTTTTTTTTTTTGGGGGGGAGAGGGGGGGGGGGGGGCTCCTCCCCTCTCTCTCTCTCCTTCAATTTATAATTATCTATCTATCTCTCAATGTCTCCCTCCCCTCTCCCACTCTCTCTCTCTCTCTCTCTCTCTCTCTCTTTCCCTGTTTCTCTCTCGTTAAAAAATGACCTTGGGGAGGGGTGAGGGGAGGGGAGGGGGAGGTGTGAATTGCCCCCAAAGAGGCCGAATTTAGATTTTAAAATTGCAAACTTACATATAGGGGTATATCATGTCGGAAGATTTAAACCTATCTATTCCAAATCTGGCATTTGCTTCAGCTGCTAACAGTCCCTCTAAATTCAGAAAACTGGCCACTTTTTTATACCCTGGATCCTATATTATGTCTTATTATTTTTTGAAAGTCATTTTTGATACGAATGATTTGTATATCGTTGTTTATCTTCTTAGTATCAAATCTTGTAAAGGGTCAAGTAGGCTGGCCCTGCAGATTAGCATTATGATGCACATTGGTCACTACAGCTCATATGCCTCCCGATATCATGAACTATAACCATGGACTTGCTACCGTAATCAGATTGGTTTGCGCTACCCCCCCCCCCCCCAATAAAAAAATGACAATAACAAATATAATTATAATAAGTGATTTTAATTAGAAATACGAATGATTTGTATATCGTTGTTTATCTTCTTAGTATCAAATCTTGTAAAGGGTCAAGTAGGCCGGCCCTGCAGATTAGCATTATGATGCACATTGGTCACTACAGTTCATATGCCTCCCGAAATCATGAACTATAACCGTGGACTTGCTACCGTAATCAGATTATAGTAAACGCTACCCAACTCGCCCCCCCCCCCCAAAAATAAAAAATAAAAAAAAATGTAATAATAATAATGATAATAATAATAATTTAAGTGATTACGACGATAAAAATGATAACAATCAATCTAAATCGCAGCAGATAATGGCAGCTGCTGCCAGCAATGGCCAGACCAGGGCAACGGAGCCATATTTAGCCGATGCAACCCTTCAACTTCTTGGGGACTCCAAGCTCACTAATCTCAAGTTCTTAGAGGGAGAAGAAGGTGGACAGAGGCTTTTCAAAGCGAAGGATCTTTGGACGGATAATGGGGTCGTTGTCTTGGCAGTCAGGAGGCCCGGATGATCTTTGTGTAAGGGGGTAAGTCGATTTGAAACTCAAAGCTATATCAGGGGCGGAGCCCGGGCCCCCTCCCTTGAGCTATATAGTGTTTTTTACAGTTAAGAGTACGCCTACAATTGTTGAAAAATATGGGGAGGGAGAAATCCTGGGCACTGTTGCATAAAACTAACCATTGATGGTAACTTCGCCTTTAAAGGTAAAGACCAGTTATGGTCATGCGATTGCATTGTGAAAGAAACGTTGTGGAATCGATCAGAAAAGGTTGATCATCTAGCATCTAGCATCTGCAAGGTTCTGGAATCATCAAAATGATAAGAAATTTGGCCCATTCTTCGTAAAGTTACAAGCACTATACACAGAAAGATGTATATGGGACTACCCTATATCTCTCACAGACCATGAGAGAAACAAATTTACCAAATATATGAATTAGTAGGCGGTTTCCCGGCAAATTTGTTATCATCATGTATTAGTCAAAACATATTCTTTCACATGATTGGTAATGAGAGCTTCCATTTCCTTTTTCCATTTCATTTTTCATCTTAGAGGGAGAAGAATTGGGGCGTTTCCAATACTGGTCTTTACCTTTAAGGGTAACTCCCATGCAACCATATAATTAGCTGTTGAGTGATTTTGCCATGGTTAATATTATTAATATTAATACTGTTAATAGTACCATCACAGATACATCTTTTGTAACGAGGGCCCTAACGATTTTGATGTTTGGGGTAATTAAAGGTCCAGACACTCAATGTCTACATGACCTGAATTGAGTAAGAAAAAAAGTTTGAAAATTATGATAATTGGCGGCATCGCGAGCTTTCAAAGTGTTGTGCACATCCAGCATGGCGTAAAGCCGGTATACGCCCTAAAAAAATATTTGCCCCCACATCCCGAGTTTCGTACGCCCCACCCATGTTTATAAACATTTGATGTCGTCTTTTTCTTTTAATAATTATCAGGCTATGTTTCGAGAATTCCATAGGTTAAAAATAATTGCAATAATTTTGTTCCTTGGTTTTCATCTACATATAGGAAGCCCGAATGGTTTCCTCCATCAAGCCCGAGCTAGATGCTCGAGGCATTAAGCTTTATGCAGTGCTTCGAGAGTCGCTGGGCTACCAAGACTTCCTGCCTTTCTTTGACGGAGAAGTTTTCCTAGACACAAAGGTAAGTAGAAGGCTCGTAAACTTCTAATTTCCCCATCCTAGTTCAGAATTCTCACCCTCTTCGATTTCCCCTACATCCTTCATCATTATTACCATCACCACCACAACCATTATCACTAAGTACCGTCAATATTACTATCACCCCAACCACCAACATCACGTACACCACGTACACCAGCACGTTGGAAACAAACACGAACACCATCAACAGTACCACCAGTAACAGCATCACCACCACCACCACCACCACCACCACCACCACCACCACAAACAGTAGCTCAGCTACCACCATCAACACCATCGGTACCACCGGCACGAGTTATGCCAGTACCGGCAGTGTAACCATACCACCCATTATCATTTACACTTTCACCACTACCACCACCACCACCACCACCACCACCACCACTACCACCACCAGTAAAACGTCTCTATTTACCACCACTTAAACAGGTATACCCATACGTTGTGTGTCCGGACAGCTTGTGTATACGGGCAGTTGATTTAAAACGGTAGTTTTAAGAAGTTTACACACAATATTTCATAATTTGTTA